CGTAGATTCTTAAATTGCAAATAGACCTTCTAGCTATCCCCAAAACGATGGACTCAACTTCGATGGTATAGACGAACCTACACTAATATCACAAATTGATAAGGTGGAAAAGCAAAATAATTTAGCTATAAATGTTTTCGGACATTTTAAAGGAATTGTTGTACACAGGATAAGCTCCACTCCGGAACAAATCCCAAGAATCAATTCATTTCTGATCGAAAAAGATGGAAAATATCATTACCTACATGGATAAAGAGTTTAAACAGGCTATTATACGATCAAACGAAACATAAAGAAAAGAAATATTTCTGCGAAAGATGCCTACATGGGTACAGCAGACAAGATCTATTAGAAGCACATAAAGAAGACTGTAGAGGTGTTGGACAGACCGCTATCAGGATCGATATGCCTAAAGAGGGGAAAAATATATTAAAATTTGAACATTATTGTAATCAAATGCCAGTACCGTACGTAATTTACGCCGACTTCGAAGCTCTTATCAAACCCATAGAAAATACTGAACGCAATACTGATAGTAGTTTTACGTACAAAACTCAAGAACATATTCCTTCTGGGTTTGGATATATAGTTGTAAGGTATGATGGGAAAACAAACACTCCCGTGATTTACAGAGGTCCCGATGCAGCGGGAAAGTTCCTAGAATATCTACAAAATGAAGAGAGAATAATCAGGGAAAAATTATCGTGTAAAAAACCCATGTGTATGACGAGGGATGATTGGAGGGCCCATAAGAAGTCAACGAGTTGTCATGTTTGTAATAAACCCCTGGATGGAGATTCAGTAAGAGATCATTGTCACGTCACGGGTAATTATCGGGGAGCCGCGCATAACGATTGTAACTTGAAACTAAAAATAATTCTCAAACAATACCCATCCCCGTTGTGTTTCATAACCTTAGGGGATACGATTCACATCTCATTATGCAAGCTATCTCAAAGACCGACGGCGGTTTAACGTGCATTCCTAATAATATGGAAAAATACATATCGTTCTCGTTGACTAAACCTATACATTATAGGGACAAGGATGGGAAATCTAGAATAAAGCAAAGTAATGGGCTTAGATTCATAGACTCCGTAAAGTTTCTGTTATCTTCCCTGGACAATTTAGCTAATGCGAACAATCCAGATGACTTTGCGATAACAAATCAATATACCGATAAGATAACTCGTCATTTGTTGCTGAGAAAAGGTGTATATCCTTACGAATATATGGATGATTGGTCTAGATTCGAAGAAACTGAATTACCACCCCTCGAATCATTCTATAGTAACTTAACAGAATCTAAAATAACAGAAACCGATTATGAACACGCTCTGACGGTCTGGGATAAATTAGGTTGTAAGAATTTAGGTGATTATCACAATCTGTACTTAAAAACCGATGTACTGTTACTCGCCGATATATTCGAGATATTTAGAAAGACATTTTTAAAACAATATGGCTTGGACCCGGCATGGTACTAATCCAGTCCCGGACTATCGTGGGATGCATTGTTGAAGAAGACCGGCGTAGAACTAAAACTACTCACTTTCGATATGCACTTGTTTATTGAGAAAGGATTAAAAGGGGGTATATCGATGGCAGCAAAAAGGTATTCTAAGGCTAATAATAAATTAGTGGAAGGATATGATCCAAGTAAACCTGACACACACATATTATATCTCGACGCTAACAATTTGTACGGATGGGCTATGAGTCAACCTTTACCCACGGGTGGTTTTGAGTGGGTCGATGATATCAATGTGAATGATGTGAATAAAGGGTACATACTAGAAGTTGACTTGGAATATCCAAGTTTGTTACATAAAGATCATAACAGTTATGCACTAGCTCCCGAAAGATTAATGGTTAATAAGGATTGGATGTCGGAATATCAACGCTCCTTAATGGGTAATACTAGGTTAGCTAACGTAGAAAAACTCATACCAAATTTGATGGATAAGACAAAATATATAGTTCACTACAGAAATCTCCAGTTATATCTATCGTTAGGTATGAAACTAAAGAAAATACACAGAGTTCTAAAGTTTGATCAAAGCCCTTGGATGGAGCCCTATATAAGGCTGAACACAGATTTAAGAAAGATAGCTACCAGCGATTTCATAAAGAATCTGTATAAGCTCATGAATAACTCAGTATTTGGTAAAACTATGGAGAATCTAAGGAAGCGTGTTGATGTTAAATTAGTCAGATCTAATGAGGAAGAAAGACTTAGGAAACTTATAGCCAGTCCGGCTTTTAACAGAAGCAAGTTATTCGATAACGACTTAGCCGCGTTGCATATGCAGAAGAGTAATATAAAATTCAACAGACCGGTGTACGTCGGTATGAGTATTCTCGACTTGTCAAAACACTTAATGTATGACTTTTATTACAACGAACTTAAGAAGCAATACAGCGATAGATGTGAGGTGTTATATACCGACACAGATTCTTTGTTGATGGAAATACAAACCGAGGATGTGTATAAAGATATGGCAGAAATAATAGATATGTACTACAGGAGCGATTACCCAAAAGATAATCCACTGCACAGCGTAGTAAATAAAAAGGTGTTAGGTAAGATGAAGGATGAATGTGCTGGGACCCCTATAGCGGAGTATGTCGGATTAAGACCTAAGATGTATTCTATAAAGAAGTCCGATTATGGGGAGATAAGAAAAGCTAAGGGCGTTAAGAAGTATGTTGTAAAAAAGCATATCAAACACGAACAGTATAAAGAATCATTATTCAACGGTAGAACGTTCAAACACGAGATGAACTCTTTAAGAAGTTACAATGATAGGATATATGGATTAAGAATGAACAAGACATCATTATCCCCCTTAGATACAAAGAGATGGATTGATAAGGATGGTGTAACTACCTATGCTTATGGTTATGGTGGTAATATCGTACCGTCGGGAACTATGAACAACTCTTCTCGTACAAATGCCCTACCCGGTCCATCTTGAAGATAATAAAGAATAGGCTCTCCTTCTTTCATAACCAATCTACTAATGTTATATGTCTTAAGGGACCATATGGGATCGGTTGCGCGACGTAGGCCTCCTTCGAGTTCACCGGGCTGGTATAAATATCTTACCCTTACTCTATCCGGAAGTTTTCGTTCTTTGCCTCTTCTCGGTGCTGAAGATTCGGAAGTCACGGATTTCATTTTAATAGCATCGGATGGTTTCTTCCCTATTAATCTCGTTACTTCATTATTCAGCGCTGATACAATGGCTGATAAACGTGTCACCCATTCGGTTGATCTCAATCGTTCGGATTTCATTTCGATCCCATACTGATAGCCAAACAAATGTTCCGCTAATGTCCTGTTAAATCTTTCGACGATAGCTTGACTGCAGTGGGCCTCTCTTTCACCATGCCTGATTTTGACATCGTGCTTTGTTAACAGTTTAGTTATCAATCCCATAAACTCGCGACCGGGATCTACTTGAAATAGCTTAGGCCATTTTAGCGGTCCGCGTTTATATATGCGACTCAGTGCATTAGCTACTTCTGTTGAATCTTTCGAGGTTAATGGCTCAGCCTCTTTGTATCGACTAGCCACATCCACTACCATTAGAGCGTATTTATACGTTTTGCGTCTTACCTTATCGTGGGGAAGAAACAAGAGGTCAGCCTGATGAACTTCATTCGTTGTAAAAATATCAAACTTCTTCCTCGGTATATAACGCGGTGCCGGTAAATATATTTGCCACATCGTTTGTTTCTTTAACCAACCCTTGGCCACATCTTTAGATACCTTAGCCACAGTGGCTAATTTTTTTATTGCTCCTACACCTTTCCAATATCCTCGTGGGCTATAGTAAATTTTATTCATTATTAATTAATATTGATGTTTCTTTTAATACGACTTATGACTATCATTGAATCACATAATCATTTTGGCATAAAAAATTCCCCCTGTAGTAGCGGTATAGGTATATAAATCCGGCTCCAGTGGAGTTGCGGCAGAACCCCCATTACCTATACTACTTATGGGAATACAGTTTCACACACACACAAAACCGCTGTAAAACGTGCAGGTATTATACGTGGTTGGAAAAATGCATCGAAGGAAAAAAATGTTTCTGAAATGACTGCAGAATAACAGATACCCAAAGGGTGGCAAAGTATAGTTTACACAATGCTGTGGCGCGCTATGATAATCAGTGTATCGATATAGCTTCATAGCAACAATTCTCACATCGTAAACAAACCTTTCAGCTCAAACAAACTTCAGCAGTGCGTGTTCTAGAGCCGGCTCGAAAAGCTGAGTAAACATAAACATCCCATAAGAGCAAAGCTGAGCGATTTCATCAATGGGCGTTTGTGATCTGGGTTGCACGCCCACAAATACGTTTAACAAAACAGTTCAGTTCATTGTCGTACGTTCCTCGAGATTTTCACGCCTCTGGTTTCGTGGGTTTGTAAAGTGGAACACTACAATGCGAACGCTATTCACTATATACACTGATATGAAATTCGCGGAACTCGAGTATCTGGTATTGCTCTAAGACAGCTAAAGGACTCGTGACAAAACGGTTACGAAACATTCGGACTCGGTTCGCCCCGTCGTTTGTTTTCGCAACTGTACCTTATATATCGTTAGAATCACTCGTCCTCTATCTTCTACATGAATCTTATTTTAACAAGCACATGAATCAGTATTCTACAGCTCCCAAATTCGCTTTGCGGAGTTACGTCCCTTGGGCATGCCAGGATTAACTGACCGTGGTTATTCATCACAATTATAATTCTTGGTTGGTCAGGGCCATAACCATGGTGCAAATGGGTTTCACAACAATGGCGAATGTCTCGTTAGGTTTTCCGCCTTTATAAACATACTTTTCAAAGCGGCTAAAAACTCGACTCACTTACATACTCATCATTGTATTAAATGCCATGCTACATTGTTGATGATGACCACGGACAACATACTCTCCTCTGGATACAAAACATGGGAACTATTCCACAAGAATACTCACTGGCGTTCTCGAGTGCGTCCATATAGAATGGGAGTACAGTCTGATATCCACCATGATGTAGTCGTCTGTGAACAGTTAATGTCCCCCTTGTCTCCTTCGTACAATGAAGCAACCATACACCGTTTCTAAATGTCTGACATCTGTCAGCACCCACAGTACGTTGTCCTCTACAATGACAGAGGAAGGTGACGCCACCCGGGATCTCCCTTCTGATACGTATGAGCCCCGTTAAGAAGCCTCAATCCACTCTCTGCTGCCGCCAAGTTTAATTGAACATACAGTATTTCCTCTATTAGACGCCGAGACTCAAATACACGCCGAAATATTCCGAAACGCCCACCCTGTTCTGATAGGCTTCAGTTCCGTGAAGAAGGCTCATTCGACTGTGTTGCTGCCAGGCTTAATAGAAAAAAATACAATATAGATTCCTACGTTCATAATTGAAGGTGGAACCATGCATTCATAATAAGAGGTATTGAGCAAGGTCGCACAACGTAAAATATATTATTGATCAGCTCGTTGCGTTGCATGTGACACTGTTGATTGAGCAAGTACAAGCCGATGCGCGGGAGTTGCTATGACAGGTTTTAACACTATCACCCCGTCTAAACAAATACATGTCCCCAGTCGAAAGTCGGGTTTTTGCATGCTTCGACGGTTTAAAGCCTGATTGAGAAAGTACAAGCCGATGCGCGGGAGTTGCTATGACAGGTTTTAACACAATCACCCCGTCTAAACAAATACATGTCCCCGGTCGAAAGTCGGGTTTTGCATGCTTCGACGGTTTAAAGACTTCCAGACCGCCCCGTGGTCTAGTGGCAGAGCGTTCGCCAAGAGAGCCTTGCATCTAAAACAAGGGGCTAAAACAAGGACTGGTCAGCTCGGAGTCCGTATGCTGTGTCTGAGTAGGGTATTCATGTTAAACATATGTTACATTAATTCAATTATTTAACGGTGGCAATATATATGTGTATGTCTTGTTGTATTTAGACAGCACCCAAGTGTCGAAAGTGCTTGGTGCAAAGATTCTTAACCGACACCCAACTGTCGAAAGTACTTGGTGCAAAGATTCTTAACCGACACCCAACTGTCGAAAGTACTTGGTGCAAAGATTCTTAACCGACACCCAACTGTCGAAAGTACTTTGTGCAAAGGCACCGAAAAGAATGGGGAGTCGGACAACTTGGTACTTGGGATACAAGCGTGACATTTCGAAAGCGATGTTTTGCATATTTGCCATGTTTTTCCTCAATCTTGTCAATCACATTAGTGTCAAAAGGGACAGAAAATTCAGTTCAGTGACATATAATATTATTTCATTGGACTAATGTAAAAGGATAAGATCAGGTTTGTTGGCCTAGAGAGGTCTGAGGGCTGTATACGCGCCTATTCCAAAGAAGTTTATGTTTAACATTTTTCATGACGCCCTCTACATATTCTGGGTCGTACCATGGATGGACCTCTGTATCAAAACCACAAGCATGGATAAGACGGTAATAAAAAGATCAAGCTTCGCCATCATATCGCTTAAGATACCTTGTTTGTGCCAAAGCTGGGTATCCACTGACAATGTGTTGGAAAGTCTCATTAAATTCATTGCATAATCTTCATTTCATATTACATTTTGATGCAAAATCACACATTGACGGTTAAAAGTGGGAAGTGACTGGTCCCGAGCAGCAAACAGAGTGTTCCACTGTTCAGGCCAGCCGACTTCATCCCAGCGAAGGACTCTGCAGGGTTGCTTTTCTTCTCAACGCACTGAACATAACTCGATTCAGTGGTCGTTAAGAATGCCTCTCCCTGAAAACTGCGTCTGGGCCGATTTGATATTGCACTCCGCTTAGTTGACACACATTTCTCTACTGTCCAGCACTACAGAAGCATCAACAATATTAACATCGACATTTACCATTAATAAGTGTATCATCAGCAGTAGTAGTGTTGTAGCACCAACGTCAGTGGCGTTGTCACATCAACGTATGGAGTATCATCAACGCAACTGGTATGCCGTCAATGTCAGTAGTGTGCCATCCACGTCATTAGTGTGTCATCAACGTCAGTAGTGTGCCATCCACGTCATTAGTGTGTCATCAACGTCAGTAGTGTGCCATCAACGTCGGTTTTGTAGCATCCACGTCATTAATGTGTCATCAACGTCAGTAGTGTGCCATCCACGTCATTAGTGTGTCATCAACGTCAGTAGTGTGCCATCAACGTCGGATTTGTAGCATCCACGTCATTAATGTGTCATCAACGTCAGTAGTGTGTCATCCACGTCAGTAGTGTGCCATCAAAGTCGGTTTTATAGCATCCACATCATTAATGTGTCATCAACGTCAGTAGTGTGTCATCTACGTCATTAGTGTGTCATCTACGTCAGTAGTGTGTCAGCTACATTTGTGATGTGTCATCTACGTCAGTAGTGTGTCATCTACGTCAGTAGTGTGTCATCCACGTCAGTAGTGTGTCATCCACGTCAGTAGTGTGTCATCCACGTCAGTAGTGTGTCATCCACGTCAGTAGTGTGCTATTAACGTCAGTAGTGTGTCATCCACGTCAGTAGTGTGTCATCCACGTCACCAGTGTGTCATCCACGTCAGTAGTGTGTCATCTACGTCAGTAGTGTGTCATCCACGTCAGTAGTGTGTCATCCACGTCAGTAGTGTGTCATTAACGTCAGTAGTGTGTCATCCACGTCAGTAGTGTGTCATCCACGTCAGTAGTGTGTCATCCACGTCACTTTTGTATCATCCACGTCACTTTTGTATTATCCACGTCAGTAGTGTGTCATCAACGTTAGTAGTGTGTCATCCACGTCAGTAGTGTGTCATCCACGTCAGAAGTGTGTCATTAACGTCAGTAGTGTGTCGTCCACGTCAGTAGTGTGTCATCCACGTCACTTTTGTATCATCCACGTTAGTAGTATGTCATCCACGTTAGAAGTGTGTCATCCACGGCAGTAGTGTGTCATCTACGTCAGTAGTGTGTCATGAACGTCAGTAGTGTGTCATCCACGTCAGTAGTGTGTCATCCACGTCAGTAGTGTGTCATCCACGTCACTTTTGTATCATCCACGTCAGTAGTGTGTCATCAACGTCAGTAGTGTGTCGTCCACGTCAGTCGTGTGTCATTAACGTCAGTATATTCATCCACGTCAGAAGTGTGTCATTAACGTCAGTAGTGTGTCGTTAACGTCAGTAGTGTGTCATCCACGTCACTTTTGTATCATCCACGTCTGTTATGTGTCATCAACGTCAGCAGTGTGTCATCCGGGTCATATATGTTGTATTATCAACGAAAGTGTTGTATCTTCATCGTTAGGGATGTCATAATCATCATTGGTGTATCACCAACGTCAGTGTCGCTGTATCATCTGAGCCATTGATGTATAATAACGTCATTAATGTATCATCAAAGATAGTGGTGTATCATATCGTCAGTGATTTTGTGTAACCAATTTTATTTGTGTATTATCAAGGCATGTTATTATTGACCTCAACGGTGTTGTAACTTTGATGGAATGTGTATCATCAACGTCAGCGGTGTTTTGTCATTATTGTCATAGGTGTATAATCAACTTCACTACTGTAAAATCAACGTCAGTGCTGTATATTAAACTTCAGTACTGTATATTCAACGTCAGCACTGTATAATCAACGTCATAGCTGTATAATCAACGTCAGCACTGTATAATCAACGTCAGTATTGTATAATCAACGTCATAGATATATAATCAACGTCATAGCTGTATAATCAACGTCAGCGCTATATAATCAACGTCAGTATTGTATAATCAACGTCATAGCTGTATAATCAACGTCATAGCTGTATAATCAATGTCAGCGCTGTATAATCAACGTCATAGCTGTATAATCAACGTCATAGCTGTATAATCAACGTCATAGCTGTATAATCAACGTCAGCGCTATATAATCAACGTCAGTATTGTATAATCAACGTCATTGCTGTATAATCAACGTCATAGCTGTATAATCAACGTCCGCACTGTATAATCAACGTCATAGCTGTATAATCAACGTCAGCACTGTATAATCAACGTCAGTATTGTATAATCAACGTCATAGCTGTATAATCAACGTCATAGCTGTATAATCAACGTCCGCACTGTATAATCAACGTCATAGCTGTATAATCAACGTCAGCACTGTATAATCAACGTCAGTATTGTATAATCAACGTCATAGCTGTATAATCAACGTCATAGCTGTATAATCAACGTCAGCGCTATATAATCATCGTCAGTATTGTATAATCAACGTAATAGCTATATAATCAACGTCATAGCTGAATACTCAACGTCAGGGCTGTATAATCAACGTCAGTGTTGTACAATCAACGTCTGCGTTGTCTACACAATTGGTGAATCGACGTCATTATAAATCATCTACGTCAATGGTCAATGTTGAACTCTGTGGAATAAGTGTAATATCATCAATTAAAACAACACTCTCCAGCCCCCCCCCCCCCCCCCCCCCCCAGCCCCCATTCCTAAAAATAACTCAGCTGTAATCACCATAATAGATTTTCATACTGACGGTTGTCCTCGTCGACCTCGTTGTAATCAAGTACCTCATCTAGAAAAGTGACGCTTGAAATAGGATATTCTTATTTCGAACAGCGACCCTACGTCTTTTTCGATATCTGTAAACTAATGTATATAACAAGCCTTTGTAGCCGGAACGCCATGTACATGCATGGACATGAGGGGGGTGGGGGGTGGGGTTGTGGCGGGGGTGATGGTGGTGTTGGCGGTGGGGTGGGTGGGTTTTAACATTAAATCACTTGTGTTATCTACATTATATATTCGGCTATCATTATTTTGTTTGAATCTAAATACATGCCTCAGTACCCGTGAATTAACTTGACATTATAATACATTAATTCTTTCAAACGGATACACACAACACACCACACCACGGCCCGACACAAACAATGCAGCTGTTACCAGTCACCATGTACGTCTATGTTTGGATTTCTCGAGGAATTGACAAGGCTGGCAGCCTCTATATACACTGGTAGCACATTTCTCGGAAATCCCACACCACAACAGAGAACATATTTCTGTTGTAAGCCGTTGCACCACACTCCAGTTATAGTCTAACGTGGTATGCGACTATACTAGTCAATGTAGCAAAGGAACTGATTGTGTATGACACTGTTTAATAACAGTTCAATCATTTTGACAGATACCCATCGTTGCAAAAGATCGAGAGAAACTGAAAGTCTCTTTGTCTTGTAAGGATATGCATACACGTGCATGCACACGTCGCTATATAAGTGCAATAATCTTGGACGCGACGTTAACCCAATTTCACCTCACCTCATACTTCGTGAGTCATGTTGTTTCTTCGAGAATTGTGTGTTACAAATTCGAAACGACATGGTTACCTATCGCATAACGTTTCCTTTTCAGTGTTATTGGCTTATAGTATTGGTCATATATACACTTCAAAAATAGTACGGGATCATGAAATACAAATGTTATGGTCGGTCGTGAGAAGAAAGATCAGAAACACAGAAACGCTTTCCGACTGTAGCGTATTTCGCACACGGGCCTGGCCGGGCCATTTAGTGTATTCCGAAAAGGCTGAAAGTGGTGTGTGCAACCCAAGAGGGGGCTTTTAGGGGTTGCTTATATTGAATTTTTGGAATTTATAAATTTGGAATAAATGCCGTTGTGGGTGGAGGAGGGAACTAAGGGAGCCGGGTGAGGTGGGTGTTTGTATGTTTATTGGATTTTGGATTGGTAGATTAATGAGTTTTTAGATGCGCTTAATTAGATCTGTTTTGATTAGGAATACGCCTAGGGCCTTGAAGTTTTCTAGTTTTGTTTAGGGTTTAGTATTTGATCTAGAGTAGGAACCTTATTTAGATTGAGGTCGGTTTGTAGTGTGGTGCTATGTGTTTGGTAGTGGGTGCAGTGGATGAGTGCGTGTTCTGTGGTTTCGGGTTGTTTGCAGTGGGGGCAGTTGCCTGTGATGTGTCTTTTAAGTTTTTTTAGGTGGTTATTTAGGTTCGTGTGTCCTGTTTGGAGTTTTGTAATTAATCTGTCAATTTTTTAGAGGGATGTAGGATTTTAGGTTTGGCTAGTGGTTTTCTGAGCACTTTTTTGACACACTACTGACGTTAATGAAACACTACTGACGTGGATGACACACTACTGACGTTGATGACACATTAATGACGTGGATGCTACAAAACCGACCTTGATGGCACACTACTGACGTTGATGACACACTAATGACGTAGATGGCACACTACTGACGTTGATGACACACTAATGATGTGGATGGCACACTACTGACATTGACGGTATACCAGTTGCGTTGATGATTATTAATGGTAAATGTCGATGTTAATATTGTTGATGCTTCTGTAGTGCTGGACAGTAGAGAAATGTGTGTCAACCAAGCGAAGTGCAATATCAAATCGGCCCAGACGCAGTTTTCAGGGAGAGGCATTCTGAACGACCACTGCATCGAGTTATGTACAGTGCGTTGAGAAGAAAAGCAACCCTGCAGAGTCCTTCGGCTGGCCTGAACAGTGAAACACTCTGTTTGTTGCTCGGGACCAGTCACTTCCCACTTTAAACCGTCAATGTGTGATTTTGCATCAAAATCTAATATGAAATGAAGATTATGCAATGAATTTAATGAGACTTTCCAACACATCGTCAGTAGATACCCAGCTTTGGCACAAACAAGGTATCTTAAGCGATATGATGACGAAGCTCGATCTTTTTATTACCGTCTTCTCCATGCTTGTGGTTTTGACACAGAGGTCCATCCATGGTACGACCCAGAATATGTAGAGGGCGTCGTGAAAAATGATAAACATAAACTTCTTTGGAATAGGCCCGTATACAGCCTCAGACCTCTCCAGGCCAACAAACCTGATCTTGTCCTTTTTTTCCAATTAAATAATAATATATGTCACTGAATTTTCGGTCCCTTTTGACACTAATTTGATTGACAAGATTGAGGAAAAACATGGCAAATATGCAGACATCGCTTTCGAAATGTCACGCTTGTATCCCAAGTACCAAGTTGTCCGACTCCCCATTCTTCTCGGTGCCTTAGGTTTGGACCTCCCAATCTGTTGACTGACATTGGGAGAGTGCCCGGGTTTACTGCCAGGAATACAGCCTGACAGACAATCTGTGTATTGCAGAAGGCTAGACTGAGTGAGTGAGTTGGGCTTAACGCCGCTTTTAACAGTATTCCAGTTATATCACGGCCTGTCAGCTTAATGTGGGAGGAAACCCCGAAGTGATGCAGGTCTCAGACGTTTACCACTTCGGTGAAACCCTCGAGCACGGGTATGGTGCTGACAAACCTAGAAACATAATCGGGGCGAACCAGGATTCGAACCCACAATTATGGGTTCCTGGCGTGCCCAAGGGTGGCAACTCTGCACAGCGAATCGCGGCGCCTTAGACGACTGGGCCACCCATGCCCCCGCAGAAGGCTAGAGTGTTGGTGAAAAATTTCTCGGTGGGTTCGACCAGGCAGCACTTCCTGGCAGAAGTCCCATTCGCTGTCAGGGCTGCGTGTAGAGGGGGCAATAAGCCTTACCAGCCTGGCTCTGCCAGGATCACCCGAATCCTCTTTGCTGCATTTATTTACTCTAATCTCTAAAATAAAAAGAATAAGTTGTGATTTGTGACCTGTATCTTAATATTGTGCAATGAAATCAGACAAAATGATTGAATCATTTGAACACCTTGATAAACATTTACATACATATAAAGTAAACTTTTCTATAATATTGTAACAAAAATTCCTGATCTAGCAAGGTTAACAGGTACTTCAAAGATCACACTGACAGCCTTTTATGACAGTGGAACAACTCCCAGCCTTCACACTAATTTGAACTATTGTACCAGCATCATGTTGTTTGTTATAAGGTCGACATACCTTTAAGCAGTGTTTTTTCCAAGTAACAGAATCAAGTATAACAGTAAATTCCAACTCGAGTCACGTCAGTCATGTTTACAGTCGCCATCTTGTATTTTCTGACGTCACGTATGCGTATCATGTGACCTTACGTCACCTATTAATAGACTTGTCAAGGTGAACTTCGGGGCGGTAATTTTGACTTTGACAAGCAAGGTAGGGTTCCAGGGTTACGTCACAGCTAAATTATATTTTTCGCATCCTCAGAGATTTTTATTGTATAGTTTTTAATCTAAATGGCTAATATTAATACTTGGTCTGCTCTCTAAGTATTTGATCGTGGATTAGTGATTATTTACCTTTGTGGACATCCGGATGACGTTTTGTTGACGTCCGGATGACGTCTGACTGTTCCGAGATTCCGACAGCCATTCCGGATTCATTCCGACGGAATATTCCAAGATCGTAATTATTCAAGCATACAAGTTACAGTTACAGTTACAGTTATCACAAGTTGCAAGTGATTTGTCGTCCGTATAAAATATTACAGTTTACAGACTATGTTTAGATGTTTTGACAGTCGTCGATTGTCATCGCGATCCGGGGGGGCCGAGGTCATTCCGACCGGATTGTTTACATTATCAAGTCGCGTGATGATGCCATCACAGTCAATGGTTTTTATCTACAGATGTTTACAGGGATCGTTCTAGAATCAATCCTAAATATTTAATTCCAAGCGTTAATTAGGATTTGGCTTCATGCTGACTTAAATTGCAGTTTGACAGCTCGCTCTCGGAGGTGTGGCCTCATTGTCATTCATTCTGGGTCACATGACTTCCGGAATGTATTGTTTACATTACATGGATCCAGTTCCGGTTACAGCTAATTTCGTACATTTTCAAGTTTCAAAGTTTAATTGTTTTAACAGTTCAGATATATCAATCGTGGGAGGGATACAGACAAGTACCGGATTCTAGAGCCACGATGTGACAGACAATGCCGAGCGACTGATGTTACCAGTACAGTTCAAAGCCGGTATCGCGTCTCGCGATCTCGAGACCATGTACAAGATTTTTCAGTTCATTGAATAATTAATAAACTCGTTATTGAACTTTACCTACTCCTTGTGTGATCCTCCTGCATTTCGCTAGTTTCGACATTCGTAACTTTGTAGATCCTTGTGATATATTTTCGCTAAACCTCGTCTCCAAGCTCTGGTATTTATTTTGTCACATTTTGTGACTGGTGGCAGCATCCATTTATTTTAGTAATTTGTCCACAAGTAATTATCGACCAGTCTTTGGCCGTTCTGTTACAATATAATAGCCCAATAGCTTCAACAAAATAACTATTTCGATACTTAGGAAATGACAGAAGTGGCCACAGCCTGATAACAAATGTGTCATCGTTAATCAATATGTTATCGGTTCCAGGGAAACTTGTTTTCCAAGAAATGGTGTTGTTAGCTTTCGTTGTTGATCAATACATTGCGCAAGTCTGCTCGTACGGCTCTGAATGCTGCCTTCCGGACAGTTTGTATACATGAATATCTGTCAGTGTGACAAGCATTGTACTTGCTCAATCAACAGTGTCCGTGTAATGCAACGAGCTGATCAATAATATATTTTACGTTGTGCAACCTTCCTCCCTACCTCTTATTATGAATGCATGGTTCCATCTTCAATTATGAACGTAGAAATCAATATTGTGTTTTTTTTCTATTAAGCCTGGCAGCAACACACTTATCGGCAACACAGGGTGGAATGAGGCTTCTTAACGGGTCTCATTCGTATCAGAAGGGAGATCCCGGGTGGCGTTTCGGAATATTGCATCCAATCACTTGAGCACCTTGGTCTGTCTGCTTCATCTGTCAGTGTAGAGGACAACGTACTGTGGGTGCTGACAGATGTCAGACATGTAGAAACGGTGTATGGCTGCTTCATTGTACGAAGGAGATGCGTTGAAGAAAAGGGGGACATTTACTGTTCACAGACGACTACATCATGGTGGATGTCAGACTGTACTCCCATGCTATATGGACGCACTCGAGAACGCCAGTGAGTATTCTTGTGGAATAGTTCCCATGTTTTGTATCCAGAGGAGAGTATGTTGTCCGTGGTCAACATCAACAATCCTACATGGTATTTAATGCAATGATGAGTATGTGAGTGAGTCGAGTTTTTAGCCGCTTTGAAAAGTATCGTTATAAAGGCGGAAAACCTAACGAGACATTCGCCATTGTTGTGAAACCCATTTGTACCATCGTTATGGTCCGGACCAACCAAGAATTATAATTTTGGCGAAAAACCACGGTCAGTGAATCCTGGCATGCCCAAGGGACGTAACTCCACAAAACGAATTTGGGAGCTGTAGAATACTGATTCGTGTGCTTGTTAAAATAAGATTCATGTAGAAGATAGAGGACGAGTGATTCTAACGGTATATAAGGTACAGTTGCGAAAACAAACGACGGGGCGAACCGAATCCGAATGTTTCGTAACCGTTTTGCCACGAGTCCTGTAGCTGTCTTAGAGCAATACCAGATACTCGAGTTCCGCGAATTTCATATCAGTGTATATGGTGAATAGCGTTCGCATTGTAGTGTTCCACTTTCCAAGCCCACGAAACCAGAGGCGTGTAACTCGCGAGGAACGTACAACAAGAACTGAACTGTTTTGTTAAACGTATTTAAGGGCGTACAACCCAGATCACAAACGTCCATTCATGAAATCGCTCAGCTTTGCTCTTATGGGGTGTTTATGTTCATTCAGCTTTTCGAGCCGTCTCTAGAACACGCACTGCTGAAGTTTGTTTGAGCTGAAAGGTTTGTTTACGATGTGAGAGTTGTTGCTATGAAGCTAAATCGATACACTGATTATCAGAGCGCGCCACAGCATTGTGTAAACTATACTTTGCCATCCTTTGGGTATCTGTTATTCTGCAGTCATTTCAGAAACATTTTTTTCCTTCGATGCATTTTTCCAACCACGTATAATACCTGCACGTTTTACAGCGTTTTTTTGTGTGTGAAACTGTATTCCCATATCTGATGGATCAGTGTTTCGAATAGCTGATGCACAAATTGTTTGGCTGGCTCTGTGTGGCCATGAGGTAAGGCTATATGTCACCAAGGAAAAAGTAGGTTAAGTTTGATTTAAGTAGCACGTCCGTGATGCTGTGTCTTCAACGTCAGTAGTGTATCATCAACGTCAGTGGTGTTGTGTCGTCAACGTCAGTGGTGTTGTGTCGTCAACGTCAGTAGTGTATCATCAACGTCAGTGGTGTTGTGTCGTCATCGTCAGTGGTGTATCATCAACGTCAGTGGTGTTGTGTCGTCAACGTCAGTGGTGTTGTGTCGTGAACGTCAGTAGTCTATCATCAACGTCAGTGGTGTTGTGTCGTCATCGTCAGTGGTGTATCATCAACGTCAGTGGTGTTGTGTCGTCAACGTCAGTGGTGTTGTGTCTTCAACGTCAGTGGTGTATCATCAACGTCAGTAGTGTATCATCAACGTCCGTGGTGTTGTGTCTTCAACGTCAGTAGTGTATCATCAACGTCAGTGGTGTTGTGTCGACAACGTCAGTGGTGTTGTGTCGTCAACGTCAGTAGTGTATCATCAACGTCAGTGGTGTTGTGTCGTCAACGTCAGTGGTGTATCATCAACGTCAGTGGTGTTGTGTCTTCAACGTCAGTGGTGTATCATCAACGTCCATGGTGTTGTTTCGTCAACGTCAGGGATGTATTATCAACGTCAGTGGTGTTGTGTCTTCAACGTCAGTGGTGTATCATCAACGTCCATGGTGTTGTATCATCAACGTCCATGGTGTTGTATCATCAACGTCAGTGGTGTTATGTCTTCAACGTCAGTGGTGTATCATCAACGGCCATGGTGTTGTATCATCAACGTCAGTGGTGTTGTATCATCAACGTCAGTGGTGTTGCATCATCACCAACTTGGTGTTGTATCAAGGTCACTAGTGTATCATCAACCTCAGTTACGTATCATAAACGTCACTTGTCTATCATCAACGTAACTGGTGGATAATCAATGGATATATCATCAGCGTTTTGTATTAACATCATTGGTGTACGCATAGCGTCAAGGCCATTTTCCGTGTGGAAAATGTGTTTTCGTTTGTGTGTATGCGACCTTAAAACTCACTCATTCACTCACTCCCAGCCAATTATTTTCCCTATTGTCATGCTTTGATGTTTTAACCGAACAGATCTATACAGACTACTATCTGACTGACAATGAGATCCGTGCCTTCAATCACCGAGGGCGTCCCTGGGGCTATAATCGGGTGAGGGGTCTAGATGTGTGGCGGGATTTGCAGGGGAGACGACGGTGGACAATCGGTAAGTACACCCACAGAAATGTATAGACATGACTGATCTTGAGTGATACTGATTTTTAGAAAATGACTCAAAATGGTAAATTTGAGATGTGCGACGATGATTAACATACTATTAGCGTGATACACCTGTTAGGAAACAACCCAAATAACTGAGTTGAGACATGAAAAAACGATTGACCAAAGTCTTATACACTTGTAAGTTAAAAGCTCAAATGACTGAGTTAAGATGTGTGCATACGATTGACCTAGCGTGACACACTTGTTTGTAAACAACTCAAATGACTGAGTTGAGATGTCTGGTGACGATTGACCTAGCGTGACACACTTGATGTAAATAACTCAAATGATTCAGTTGACATGTGTGTTGACGATTGACCTAGCGTGACACACTTGATGTAAATAACTCAAATGATTCAGTTGACATGTGTGTTGACGATTGACCTAATGTGACACACTTGTTTGTAAATAACTCAAATGACTGAGTTGAGATATGTGCATACGGTTGACCTAGCGTGACACACTTGTTTGTAAATACCTCATATGACTGAGTTGAGATGCTGGTGACGATTGACCTAGCGTGACACACTTGTTTGTAAATACCTCATATGACTGAGTTGAGATGCTGGTGACGGTTGACCTAGCGTGACACACTTGTTTGTAAATAACTCAAATGACTGAGTTAAGATGTCTGGTGACGAATGACCAAAGTCTCAAACACAGGTTAGTAAATAATCCCAACAATGTTATGACTTCAGCAAGCGTACCCAACTGGTTGCTGAACATAAATGTCAACACAAGCGAAGGGACAACCCGCAGCAGTTGGAACACACGGGACATTAACATCACGAGCGGACATTCTCATGGCATCTACCTCACAAACAGGATCAGACGCCCGTGCACAGTGGTGGGTACATACTGCTTAACAGGTGTTGATTTAGAAGGTTTGAGGTGAATAAATAAATGTTTAGGATATTTTTTAAAGAAACTGGCAAAAAGTAATTTGTTCTAAGGATATATATATATACTTTACTGTGCTTTATATGTGCTTTATATATATATATATATATATATATATATATATATATATATATATATAAAGCGTAAAGTTCTAACTCTCAGGCACAATATAGTAATAAATATAATAATTATTACTTTATATATATATATATATATATATATATATATATATATATATATATATATATATATACACACACACGTGGTAGGCTGCATGTCCTGAAAACATGTATTGTGACATAAATGTTCAGATCCTTGCATGAAACAGTTGACCGTCTCTATACATCTCCCAGAATAATACATGATGGGTCCCTAACGGAAATAAACGTCAGCATCTGACTTAATCTCCCAAACATTTGTGATTTCTGAATACAAATTTTGCATCCAATATATGGCATCGTGTGGACCTGGAACTTGCCGCGCCGTGTGAATGTCGTGTTGCATGAAACTTCAGTGGGTCCAAATATCTACCACATGTTGGAGATACTAGTTGCAGTGTGTCAATGCACTCTAATTCCACGTGTTGATGGACTGAATGTCTGATTTACGTTTCATTACAGGAGATTCCGCAGCCGCTTGTTAACGTGAATATCCGAGACGGTGTCTTCCTTCTCGAGGGGCGGGCCAAGTTGGAGCGTCTCGGACGGCAGTCACCGTTCTCTCCTGCTGTCATTGCAATACACCTGAATCTCCCCGATGAGGAACCTTTCAGAAAGGTGTTTCTATTTATACTGAATTACCAGCCACAAGATCGATATTTTCATTTATTTACTGATGACTGTAAATTAAACTTACCCCTCTCGAATATAGCTTCGAATGGGTTTGGTAGCAGACCGGGTCGGTGTAGCAAAGAGTTTGGCTTATTGAGGGCCTGGTGTATTGAGAATGTTTGGATTGTTTAGATGTGCTCGTGTAAACATTGTTGTTGGTTGCCAGAGTGTTGAGTTACAAGGGGTCTTTGTAGAGAGAGGGTTGTTTGTATGGGCTCTTGTGTAGCAATAGTTTTCAGATCCCAGAGGGGCCTGTTTAGCGAGGGTGTTATAATACAAAGGGGAATGTGTAGCGATGTTATGGGTGACGCGGTGTTTTGTGTAGGGAGAGTGTTCAGTTTGAGGATTGAGAAGGAATGTTTTGTTAACTGAAGTGTAGAGGAAGATGTAGCGAGGCGTTTGGGTTACATTTGGGTCCATGTGGCGAGAGAGTTTGAATATAGAGATGACGTTTTAACAAGAGTGGTGGTTTATTGAGGGGTTTCTGTAGCAAGAGTCGTCACTAGTGTGTTGGATTACTCAGAGGTTGGATTAAAGGGTACACACACCACTGAACAAATATCCAGCCATACAACCGCTTTTTTCGCCTTTATAAAAATACACGTTTCAATAGCAAAGTCTTTAACCTCCAGTTTAAGGACTTGTCAAACCATCTTGCCCGTGTGGTGGAAGAACCGGATGATAGAGGGTTCTTCTTCTGGTTCATCAAACGTCAGAGAGGACAATGGAATACACCAGTTAAAGACTCATCTCTGTATTTCATAGATCTCAACGTGACACACTTGAAGGTATTTATATTTAGTGAGGACCGTACTGTTGATATTTAACACCGGACACTATTTCACCTGTATGATGGCGGTTTGTAAATAGTCGTGTGTTCGACCCTACAAGTCAGTCATTGATATTACCAGCCATGATCTTAAAGGATAAAAAAATGATATGTAAAAAATGTACAGCTAAGATCTATCGAAGATGAGTATATTTTTTTATTTACCCCAAATACAATATTACCCGTGGTATATATCTCGAGTAATATTTCAGTAAAGCCCAACATATATCAATTTATTTATATAACAGTAATGTCCACATTAAACTTAAAATATACCACAGGGGGCACGGGTGGCCCAGTCGTCTAAGGCGGCGCGATTCGCTGTGCAGAGTTGCGTCCCTTGGGCACGCCAGAAACCTATGATTGTGGGTTCGAATCTCGGTTCGCCCTGATTATGTTTCTAGATTTGTCAGCACCATACCCGTACTTGTGGGTTTCACGGAAGTGGTAAACGTCTGAGACCTGCATCACTTCGGGGTTTCCTCCCACATTAAGGTGACACGCCGTGATATAACCGGAAAACTGTTAAAAGCGGCGTTAAACCAAACTCACTCACTCACTCTTATTTGCCCCCAAAACGATATTATCCGTGTAAACCACAATATATGTAAATTTATAACAGTAATGTCCACAGGTGTGTATATTGCACAGCTTATCTATGTATGTCTGTCATGCTGTGTTAAGCAAAACAACGTAATTAATAATCAACCGCCACCAGTGAAGTGTAATGTATACTATAAGCCTGTGGCCTTCCAGTAAAAGAAGATACATGATTGACATAGAATCCCTGGGTGAGAAATATATTTTCTATGTTTACAGTACAAGATACACGCTGGGGATTGTATCAAGTTTGTAGTAGTGTGAGTAGCAGTAGTGTGGACCATCTCTCTCGACACTATAGTGGGATGACACTATACATGCATCAGCATGGTCTATCCTGGTATTATATTCACACCTGGTTTCATTGTCATAAACTGAATCTGTTCATAAGGTACATTTAAACATTCCAATAATAGGGGCGATCGGGTAGCCTAGTGGTAAAGCGTTCGCTTGTCACGCCGAAGACCCGGGTTCAATTCCCGACATGGGTACATTGTGTGAAGCCCATTTCTGGTGTCCCCCGCCGTGATATTGCTGGAATATTGCTAAAAGCGGCGTAAAACCATACTCACCCACTCACTGAAACGATAATATGGACACGTGCTTCATGTTTGTTTAAAGGACCCGTGAGAGGAATCCTTCGTCTTCTCCACTGCCTTCTCAAAACTCTTCATCGAAGCCTTCTCCAGCTTCTTCTCCACTTCGTCCTTCCAGGTAACCATCATCTTGTCTTCATCATAAATGTGACGATGTGTGTGAGAAAACAAACCTATTTTACCTCATCCCAACTGAAGGTTTACGTGAGTTTATGTCAAAGCGGGTAAAACGTCATCTGATCATGACCATTCCTTCATCCCGGTTTACTGTTAAGTATGTGCGACATCTCCTTTGAAGCCATACGGCCTTTGAGGATTCCAGTTTAGAACAGGTTCCAACAACACGTGCTGGTCGTACGAGCCGTTTAAATGGATCTGAAGGTCAGATTCGGTGACTTAGTCCATTGCGTGCCATCTTTTCTCTATTGCTTGGGACTCGATTATGTTCAAGTCGCCACCATACAGTTAAGATATTGTCGAGTGTGGCGTTACACAAAAAACAACGAAGCTGAAACTTCAGAATGATGATCCTCTTAGTCTGATCACAGAATCCGCTACAGCAGCCAGATTAAAAATGTTATTTTGGCAAACTAATCAGCTGTTTCTGATACATACCATTTTGTGGTATTGTTGGTATTGTTAAGGATTTTGAAATTGTCCCGTTAATCTTATTATTTCACACATGTATCGTTGTGCTGATTGATTACGGTCCGCATGTATGTAGTGTTAAAAGATGTGATATCACGTATTTGATATATTACTCTTTTATGACCCCTTGCTGTGATGCGGCCCCTCTTATCCAGTGACGATTTAGCAACCATGTTTGTCGTAATAGGCGACTATGCTTGTCATAAGAGGCGACTAACGGGATCGAGTGGTCAGGCTCGCTGACTTGGTTGATGCATCGCATCGTATCCCAGTTGCGTAGATCGATGCTGACACAGAATAAATCACTGCATCTGGATAAAGAATTTTTGATTAAAATGAAATTAATTTTAAGGATTGAATCTTTATGTAAATAATAGTCATTATAAGTTTCTGCTAAAGTAACTATCATCTGTACTCACGATTGGTCTCTTTGTTCACTATGTTGGGACAACACATTATCTCAAATCCCGAAAACTGATCTACCAAATGGGATGATACTGAGAACTGATGTATATTATTTGTCTTCTCCTGATGGGTCGGCTCGCTTTCAATGCACTTGATGAGCAACAGTATGTGCCACGACGGCCTATTTAATACTTTCTTATTTACCATTGTATGCCCTTCATGATTAATTTTGCAATTAGACTGGAAACACTTACATTTCTTTTATAAAGGTTGTAGCCGTTTAGGAGATGTGACGATTACATTTATCAATATATTTAATTATTCTTTCCATCATATTTGTTCACAGCATGGATAAGAGGCATTCTTCACCTTCTCCAGCACCTTCTCCAGCACCTTCTCCAGCACCTTCTCCAGCACCTTCTCCGCATCCCCCTCATCCCCCTCATCCTCCAAGGTAATCATTATCTTGTCTTTATCAATACCCGGACAATGTTTATGGGACAAAACTCAGTTGAATGTTTGCAAATGCTGGAAGATGAACAGTAGCACTGCTCAACGTTGGACACAACCTTTTCGCCAGCGCCAAAAGTTAGACCAACACGTTCAGTTTATAAGGGTACGGGTGGCTCAGTCGTCTAGAGCGCCACATTTCTCTGTGCAGTGTTCCGTGCCTTAGACGTGCCAGCTATGATCGTTGTTCGAATCCCATATTTAACTTGGTGATATTTCTAGGTTTGATAGCACGGCACCCAAGATCGTGTGTTTCGCCAAAGCGGTAAACGTCTAAGACCCGTAAAATTTCGGACTTTCCTTCACACTATGCTGAGAGGCTGTGGTATATGATACTGTTCAAAGCGGTGTTAATCCATACTCTCTCACTCACCCACTCAGTAAGTCAGGTCTCGTGGTATATGATACTGTTCAAAGCGGTGTTAATCCATACTCTCTCACCCACCCACTCAGTAAGTCAGGTCTCATAAATGTTTCTAAACCTGACTAGTTTGCTGTGAAGTAGCAAAGTCGTATGAAAAATGTTGTAGTGCGTCATTTGTGAAAATGAAATCAATGACATATGTAGATATGTCCAATTAGATATTTACAAATTGAAATTCGAGATATCTGAAAATGAAGAAGAGGTGATGCTTTACTTTCATCCTTCATCCTTCATCCTATAGGTGTATAATTCTATGTGTTGTGTTGCAGATCTCACACACGGGACAGAACGGTTCAAACATGCACGTCGCTATATAAGTGCACTAATCTTGGACGCGACGTTAAACCCAATTTCACCTCACCTCACCTATAAAGGTTGTAGCCGTTTAGGAGATGTGACGATTACATTTATCAATATATTTAGTTATTCTTTCCATCATATTTGTTCACATCATGGATAAGAGGCATTCTTCACCTTCTCCAGCACCTTCTCCAGTACCTTCTCCAGCACCTTCTCCAGCACCTTCTCCAGCACCTTCTCCGCATCCCCCTCATCCCCCTCATCCTCCAAGGTAATCATTATCTTGTCTTTATCAATACCCGGACAATGTTTATGGGACAAAACTCAGTTGAGTGTTTGCAAATGCTGGAAGATGAACAGTAGCACTGCTCAACGTTGGACACAACCTTTTCGCCAGCGGCAAAAATTTAGAACAACACGTTCAGTTTATAAGGGTACGGGTGGCCCAGTCGTCTAGAGCGCCACATTTCTCTGTGCAGTGTTAGGGGGCACGGGGGCCCAGTCATCTAAGGCGCCGCGATTCGCTGTGCAGAGTTGCCTCCCTTGGATACTCCAGAAACCTATGATTAGGGGTTCGAATCCCGGTTCGCCCCGATTATATTTCTAGGTTTGTCAGCCCCATAACCGTGCTTGTGGGTTTCACCGAAGTGGTAAACGTCTGAGACCTGCATCACTTCGGGCTTTCCTCCCACATTAAGCTGACACGCCGCGATATAACTGGAATATTGTTAAAAGCGGCGTTAAACCCAACTCACTCACTCACTGCATTGTTCCGTGCCTTAGACGTGCCAGCTATGATCGTGTGTTCGAATCCCAGATTTAACTTGGTGATATTTCTAGGTTTGATAGCACGGCACCCGAGATCGTGAGTTTCGCCAAAGTGGTAAACGTCTAAGACCCGTATAATTTCGGACTTTCCTTCACACCATGCTGAGAGGCCGTGGTATATGATACTGTTCAAAGCGGTGTTAATCCATACTCTCTCACTCACCCACTCAGTAAGTCAGGTCTCGTGGTATATGATACTGTTCAAAGCGGTGTTAATCCATACTCTCTCACCCACCCACTCAGTAAATCAGGTCTCATAAATGTTTCTAAACCTGACTAGTTTGCTGTGATATAGCAAAGTCGTATGAAAAATGTTGTAGTGCGTCATTTGTGAAAATGAAATCAATGACATATGTAGATATGTCCAATTAGATATTTACAAATTGAAATTCGAGATATGTGAAAATGAAGAAGAGGTGATGCTTAGCTTTAATCCTTCATCCTATAGGTGTATATAATTCTATGTGTTGTGTTGCAGATCTCACACACGGGACAGAACGGTTCAAACTGACCGGTACGGTACACGGATAATGATCGTTTGCTAACTAACGCATGATGTCTTGAACTCAACAATTCCTATTTATTTTATTCTATTACTTTCTACTGAAGACCTAATTAAGTAATCATTATGCTTTTGGTGTTTTTATTGTTGTTACCCTGTCTGGCGCTCTGCATTAAGGGGCTAAAACAAGGACTGGTCGGCTCGGAGTCAATATACTGTGTCTGAGTGGGGTATTCATGTTCAACTGCGGCATGGTATCTCAGTGGGCTAGCACTATAAATCGGCATCAGTCCGGACTAGTACAAGCAGCCACACACTACATACATAGACGTACATGCACGTCGCTATATAAGTGCACTAATCTTGGACGCGACGTTAAACCCAATTTCACCTCACCTCACCTATAAAGGTTGTAGCCGTTTAGGAGAAGTGACGATTACATTTATCAATATATTTAGTTATTCTTTCCATCATATTTGTTCACATCATGGATAAGAGGCATTCTTCACCTTCTCCAGCACCTTCTCCAGCACCTTCTCCAGCACCTTCTCCGCATCCCCCTCATCCCCCTCATCCTACAAGGTAATCATTATCTTGTCTTTATCAATACCCGGACAATATTTATGGGACAAAACTCAGTTGGATGTTTGCAAATGCTGGAAGATGAACAGTAGCACTGCTCAACGTTGGACACAACCTTTTCGCCAGCGGCAAAAATTTAGAACAACACGTTCAGTTTATAAGGGTGCGGTTGGCCCAGTCGTCTAGAGCGCCACATTTCTCTGTGCAGTGTTAGGGGGCACGGGGGCCCAGTCGTCTAAGGCGCCGCGATTCGCTGTGCAGAGTTGCGTCCCTTGGACACTCCAGAAACCTATGATTGTGGGTTCGAATCCCGGTTCGCCCCGATTATATTTCTAGGTTTGTCAGCCCCATCCCCGCGCTCGTGGGTTTCACCGAAGTGGTAAACGTCTGAGACCTGCATCACTTCGGGCTTTCCTCCAACATTAAGCTGACACGCTGTGATATAACTGGAATATTGTTAAAAGCGGCGTTAAACCCAACTCACTGTGCAGTGTTCCGTGCCTTAGAGGTGCCAGCTATGATCGTGTGTTCGAATCCCATATTTAACTTGGTGATATTTCTAGGTTTGATAGCACGGCACCCGAGATCGTGAGTTTCGACAAAGCGGTAAACGTCTAAGACCCGTATAATTTCGGACTTTCCTTCACACCATGCTGAGAGGCCGTGGTATACGATACTGTTCAAAGCGGTGTTAATCCATACTCTCTCACTCACCCACTCAGTAAGCCAGGTCTTGTGGTATATGATACTGTTCAAAGCGGTGTTATTCCATACTCTCTCACTCACCCACTCAGTAAGTCAGGTCTCGTGGTATATGATACTGTTCAAAGCGGTGTTAATCCATACTCTCTCACCCACCCACTCAGTAAGTCAGGTCTCGTGGTATATGATACTGTTCAAAGCGGTGTTAATCCATACTCTCTCACCCACCCACTCAGTAAGTCAGGTCTCGTGGTATATGATACTGTTCAAAGCGGTGTTAATCCATACTCTCTCACTCACCCACTCAGTAAGTCAGGTCTCGTGGTATATGATACTGTTCAAAGCGGTGTTAATCCATACTCTCTCACCCACCCACTCAGTAAGTCAGGTCTCGTGGTATATGATACTGTTCAAAGCGGTGTTAATCCATACTCTCCCACTCACCCACTCAGTAAGTCAGGTCTCGTGGTATATGATACTGTTCAAAGCGGTGTTAATCCATACTCCCTCACCCACCCACTCAGTAAGTCAGGTCTCATAAATGTTTCTAAACCTGACTAGTTTGCTGTGAAGTAGCAAAGTCGTATGATCAATGTTGTAGTGCGTCATTTGTGAAAATGAAATCAATGACATATGTAGATAATATGTCCAATTAGATATTTACAAATTGAAATGCGAGATATCTGAAAATGAAGAAGAGGTGATGCTTAACTTTCCTCCTTCATCCTTCATCCTATAGGTGTATAATTCTATGTGTTGTGTTGCAGATCTCACACACGGGACAGAACGGTTCAAACTGACCGGTACGGTACACGGATAATGATCGTTTGCTAACTAACGCATGATGTCTTGAACTCAACAATTCCTATTTATTTTATTCTATTACTTTCTACTGAAGACCTAATTAAGTAATCATTATGCTTTTGGTGTTTTTATTGTTGTTACCCTGTCTGGCGCTCTGCATTAAGGGGCTAAAACAAGGACTGGTCGGCTCGGAGTCAATATACTGTGTCTGAGTGGGGTATTCATGTTCAACTGCGGCATGGTATCTCAGTGGGCTAGCACTATAAATCGGCATCAGTCCGGACTAGTACAAGCAGCCACACACACACATACACACACGTACATGCACGTCGCTATATAAGTGCAATAATCTTGGACGCGACGTTAAACCCAATTTCACCTCACCTCACCTATAAAGGTTGTAGCCGTTTAGGAGAAGTGACGATTACATTTATCAATATATTTAGTTATTCTTTCCATCATATTTGTTCACATCATGGATAAGAGGCATTCTTCACCTTCTCCAGCACCTTCTCCGCATCCCCCTCATCCCCCTCCTCCTCCAAGGTAATCATTATCTTGTCTTTATCAATACCCGGACAATGTTTATGGGACAAAACTCAGTTGAGTGTTTGCAAATGCTGGAAGATGAACAGTAGCACTGCTCAACGTTGGACACAACCTTTTCGCCAGCGGCAAAAATTTAGAACAACACGTTCAGTTTATAAGGGTACGGGTGGCCCAGTCGTCTAGAGCGCCACATTTCTCTGTGCAGTGTTAGGGGGCACGGGGGCCCAGTCGTCTAAGGCGCCGCGATTCGCTGTGCAGAGTTGCCTCCCTTGGATACTCCAGAAACCTATGATTAGGGGTTCGAATCCCGGTTCGCCCCGATTATATTTCTAGGTTTGTCAGCCCCATAACCGTGCTCGTGGGTTTCACCGAAGTGGTAAACGTCTGAGACCTGCATCACTTCGGGCTTTCCTCCCACATTAAGCTGACACGCCGCGATATAACTGGAATATTGTTAAAAGCGGCGTTAAACCCAACTCACTCACTCACTGCATTGTTCCGTGCCTTAGACGTGCCAGCTATGATCGTGTGTTCGAATCCCAGATTTAACTTGGTGATATTTCTAGGCTTGATAGCACGGCACCCGAGATCGTGAGTTTCGCCAAAGTAGTAAACGTCTAAGACCCGTATAATTTCGGACTTTCCTTCACACCATGCTGAGAGGCCGTGGTATATGATACTGTTCAAAGCGGTGTTAATCCATACTCTCTCACTCACCCACTCAGTAAGTCAGGTCTCGTGGTATATGATACTGTTCAAAGCGGTGTTAATCCATACTCTCTCACCCACCCACTCAGTAAGTCAGGTCTCATAAATGTTTCTAAACCTGACTAGTTTGCTGTGATATAGCAAAGTCGTATGAAAAATGTTGTAGTGCGTCATTTGTGAAAATGAAATCAATGACATATGTAGATATGTCCAATTAGATATTTACAAATTGAAATTCGAGATATGTGAAAATGAAGAAGAGGTGATGCTTAGCTTTCATCCTTCATCCTATAGGTGTATATAATTCTATGTGTTGTGTTGCAGATCTCACACACGGGACAGAACGGTTCAAACTGACCGGTACGGTACACGGATAATGATCGTTTGCTAACTAACGCATGATGTCTTGAACTCAACAATTCCTATTTATTTTATTCTATTACTTTCTCCTTAAGACCTAATTAAGTAATCATTATGCTTTTGGTGTTTTTATTGTTGTTACCCTGTCTGGCGCTCTGCATTAAGGGGCTAAAACAAGGACTGGTCGGCTCGGAGTCAATATACTGTGTCTGAGTGGGGTATTCATGTTCAACTGCGGCATGGTATCTCAGTGGGCTAGCACTTTAAATCGGCATCAGTCCGGACTAGTACAAGCAGCCACACACTACATACATAGACGTACATGCACGTCGCTATATAAGTGCAGTAATCTTGGACGCGACGTTAAACCCAATTTCAAATCACCTCACCTATAAAGGTTGTAGCCGTTTAGGAGAAGTGACGATTACATTTATCAATATATTTAGTTATTCTTTCCATCATATTTGTTCACATCATGGATAAGAGGCATTCTTCACCTTCTCCAGCACCTTCTCCGCATCCCCCTCATCCCCCTCATCCTCCAAGGTAATCATTATCTTGTCTTTATCAATACCCGGACAATGTTTATGGGACAAAACTCAGTTGAGTGTTTGCAAATGCTGGAAGATGAACAGTAGCACTGCTCAACGTTGGACACAACCTTTTCGCCAGCGGCAAAAAATAGAACAACACGTTCAGTTTATAAGGGTACGGGTGGCCCAGTCGTCTAGAGCGCCACATTTCTCTATGCAGTGTTAGGGGGCACGGGGGCCCAGTCGTCTAAGGCGCCGCGATTCGCTGTGCAGAGTTGCGTCCCTTGGATACTTCAGAAACCTATGATTGTGGGTTCGAATCCCGGTTCGCCCCGATTATATTTCTAGGTTTGTCAGCCCCATACCCGTGCTCGTGGGTTTCACCGAAGTGGTAAACGTCTGAGACCTGCATCACTTCGGGCTTTCCTCCCACATTAAGCTGACACGCCGCGATATAATTGGAATATTGTTAAAAGCGGCGTTAAACCCAACTCACTGTGCAGTGTTCCGTGCCTTAGAGGTGCCAGCTATGATCGTGTGTTCGAATCCCATATTTAACTTGGTGATATTTCTAGGTTTGATAGCACGGCACCCGAGATCGTGAGTTTCGCCAAAGTGGTAAACGTCTAAGACCCGTATGATTTCGGACTTTCCTTCACACCACGCTGAGAGGCCGTGGTATATGATACAGTTCAAAGCGGTGTTAATCCATACTCTCTCACTCACCCACTCAGTAAGTCAGGTCTTGTGGTATATGATACTGTTCAAAGCGGTGTTAATCCATACTCTCTCACCCACCCACTCAGTAAGTCAGGTCTCGTGGTATATGATACTGTTCAAAGCTGTGTTAATCCATACTCTCTCACTCACCCACTCAGTAAGTCAGGTCTCGTGGTATATGATACTGTTCAAAGCGGTGTTAATCCATACTCTCTCACTCACCCACTCAGTAAGTCAGGTCTCGTGGTATATGATACTGTTCAAAGCGGTGTTAATCCATACTCTCTCACTCACCCACTCAGTAAGTCAGGTCTCATAAATGTTTCTAAACCTGACTAGTTTGCTGTGAAGTATCAAAGTCGTATGATCAATGTTGTAGTGCGTCATTTGTGAAAATGAAATCAATGACATACGTAGATATGTCCAATTAGATATTTACAAATTGAAATGCGAGATATGTGAAAATGAAGAGGGGGTGATGCTTAACTTTCATCCTCCATCCTTCATCCTTCATCCTATAGGTGTATAATTCTATGTGTTGTGTTGCAGATCTCACACACGGGACAGAACGGTTCAAACTGACCGGTACGGTACACGGATAATGATCGTTTGCTAACTAACGCATGATGTCTTGAACTCAACAATTCCTATTTATTTTATTCTATTACTTTCTACTGAAGACCTATTTAAGTAATCATTATGCTTTTGGTGTTTTTATTGTTGTTACCCTGTCTGGCGCTCTGCATTAAGGGGCTAAAACAAGGACTGGTCGGCTCGGAGTCAATATACTGTGTCTGAGTGGGGTATTCATGTTCAACTGCGGCATGGTATCTCAGTGGGCTAGTACAAGCAGCCACACACACACATACACACACGTACATGCACGTCGCTATATAAGTGCAATAATCTTGGACGCGACGTTAAACCCAATTTCACCTCACCTCACCTATAAAGGTTGTAGCCGTTTAGGAGATGTGACGATTACATTTAACAATATATTTAGTTATTCTTTCCATCATATTTGTTCACATCATGGATAAGAGGCATTCTTCACCTTCTCCAGCACCTTCTCCGCATCCCCCTCATCCCCCTCCTCCTCCAAGGTAATCATTATCTTGTCTTTATCAATACCCGGACAATGTTTATGGGACAAAACTCAGTTGAGTGTTTGCAAATGCTGGAAGATGAACAGTAGCACTGCTCAACGTTGGACACAACCTTTTCGCCAGCGGCAAAAATTTAGAACAACACGTTCAGTTTATAAGGGTACGGGTGGCCCAGTCGTCTAAGGCGCCGCGATTCGCTGTGCAGAGTTGCGGCCCATGGACATTCCAGAAACCTATGATTGTGGGTTCGAATCCCGGTTCGCCCCGATTATATTTCTAGGTTTGTCAGCCCCATACCCGTGCTCGTGGGTTTCACCGACGTGGTAAACGACTGAGACCTGCATCACTTCGGGCTTTCCTCCCACATTAAGCTGACACGCCGCGATATAACTGGAATACTGTTAAAAGCGGCGTTAAACCCAACTCACTCACTCACTGTGCAGTGTTCCGTGCCAGCTATGATCGTGTGTTCGAATCCCAGATTTAACTTGGTGATATTTCTAGGTTTGATAGCACGGCACCCGAGATCGTGAGTTTCGCCAAAGAGGTAAACGTCTAAGACCCGTATAATTTCGGACTTTCCTTCACACCCTGCTGAGTGGCTGTGGTATATGATACTGTTCAAAGCGGTGTTAATCCATACTCTCTCACCCACCCACTCAGTAAGTCAGGTCTCATAAATGTTTCTAAACCTGACTAGTTTGCTGTGAAGTAGCAAAGTCGTATGATCAATGTTGTAGTGCGTCATTTGTGAAAACAAATCAATGACATATGTAGATAATATGTCCAATTAGATATTTACAAATTGAAATTCGAGATATCTTAAAATGAAGAAGAGGTGATGCTTAACTTTCATCCTTCATCCTTCATCCTATAGGTGTATAATTCTATGTGTTGTGTTGCAGATCTCACACACGGGACAGAACGGTTCAAACTGACCGGTACGGTACACGGATAATGATCGTTTGCTAACTAACGCATGATGTCTTGAACTCAACAATTCCTATTTATTTTATTCTATTACTAGTAATCATTATGCTTTATGGTGTTTTTTTTCATGTTGCAGGATAATTACAAATACCCGACAAAATCAAACAAGAGATGAAAACAGGTGTGAAATAAAATATTTATGGCACTGTTTAAAGTTATTCCTCAATCACGACTTATTCGTGATACTGAAGAAGCTATAGGTTAATTATATAATAACTAGTAGAAGGCGTCCATTTGACTGTGACATATACAGAAGACACACTATCAACGTTGTTTCGATATCTTCAAATTCAAAAGGCATCGAAGATGTACATTGCCAAATTTCTGATAATCATATATCTGTCATTTGTCATTAGAATGTAGAACTTATGAATATGGGGGTCAAGGAAATATTAGTCTTTGAGTAATTGTTTACACGAAATTGATCTCAGTCTGTTGCTCGATAGTACTGGTACATTTGATATCGAAATAATGGGTTGTCTGATTAGAAAACGAGAGAGCAGAATACCATTTCTGAACGTACATGTCGTGTAAGGTATGTCTTAAAGCATGTTTAAAACGAGATTGTGTATCTATTGTTTTTTCCATCCAGCCATACCAATACCCACATGTCTAAAGCGCTGTCTAGTAGTAAGGTACAAAAATGTTGTATTTTTTTGTTCTCGTTTGCTGTTATGTTGCAGAATACAGGACCCGTGAAGATCCGGATTTGAATCGGTCTTCAGCAACCCATGCTTGTCGTAAGAGGCGACTAACGGGATAGGGTGGTCAGGCTCGCTGACTTGGTTGATGCATGTCATCGTATCCCAATTGCGTAGATCGATGCTCATAATGTGAATCACTTGTCCAGACTCGATTATTTACAGACCGCCGTCATATAGCTGGAATATTGCTGAGTGTGGTGCTAAACAACAAACAAACAAACAAACAAACAAGAAGGATACAGACCAAAATCAGAGAAATAAAAACGATGGAGGATGCGAGGTGTCACATTAATGTCAATAATTCCTTGGACATTTACACCCATCGTGATAAGATTTAGTGGGGATATTTGGACTGAATGTCTCTTTAAAAATATTTCATGTTGTAAAAATATATCATTTGTTCCAGAATCCAAAACCACAAACAAGTACAAACCAGTGAACCGTCAATTGTCGTACTTGATCCAACCTTTTATGATGATGAGGTAGTTCTGGCCCGTTGGGAGGATGACCGATGGTACTACAAAGGTAAGAAGCATGGCTGTTAGGATTGGTTTCAGCAAACAGTTAGCCCCATTGCGGCATCAGCGTGAGATAAGCTATAACCATTATTCTATTCATATTCAATTTCTGTAAAACATGAAATCTTAAAAATATATACATATTTTAAAGTAAAAAGTCAACTTTTAGGTTTATCGGTTTTGTCGTCAAATAGTGAAATAAAATAAACTTTTTTGTGTGTGAACTTGTGATTTATGCCATAAGCATAACAAATGCTGCATGCTTCATCTCAATTCCATCAGATTATTAGTCCGGCTGTTTATGTTATTTTATGACATATTTTTTGAAAAGGTGAAGCAAAAACTCATCCTTTTTTTCGTTTATCATACTATTAACATAAATATATATTGATGATCACCATATACAGAAACATATACACTCCTGATTGGCTTCTTTCTATTCAGGAACAGAAAATACCTTAAATAAATTTGTTGTCATTTGTATAATTATATTATCATTAAGGGATACTAGTTCTGATTTCAACACGTTTGGGAAACATAGTGGATGTGCCTTTTGCCCTGAAACAGAATGCCTGAGTTCGAATCCTCATCTGGGTGTATTTGTAAATATGGTGCAGCGATTTTGCAGAAAGCAGCATACAATTCTCCTCTGTACTTTTAGTTAGGCGTCGTTTTGTCATTACCATATTGTTTTCATTGCAACTATCAGCATATCGGAGAACGTATGAATACAGAAAGAAAAATCAATTATTTGCAATAGTCAGGTATCATTTATAAGCTGCCGAGGGTTGGTGGGATAGCCTAGTGGTTATAGCGTTCGCTCGTCACACAGATGACCCGGGTTCGATTCCCTTAATGATTATATGTGGGACGCCCATTGCTGGTGACCCCTGCTGTGATACTGGGGGAGTACTGCTAAGAGTGGCGTTAAACCATACACACTCACTCACTCACTTTTAGCCGCTGAATCTTTACATCACCTCATCACAATCGTGTTGTTACATGCTTCATCCTCAAGCTTCATGCCTTGTCGTCATTTTCCCATCTGCTTGATGCTATTGTTTATCTCTGTGCTTCATCTTCAAGCTTCATGCCTTGTCTTCATTTTCCCATCTGCTTGATGCTATTGTTTATCTCTGTGCTTCATCTTCAAGCTTCATGCCTTGTCGTCATTTTGCCATCCTGCTTGATGCTTTTGTTAATCTCTGTGCTTCATACTCAAGCTTCATGCCTTGTCGTCATTTTGCCATCCTGCTTGATGCTTTTGTTAATCTCTGTGCTTCATCCTCAAGCTTCATGCCTTGTCGTCATTTTCCCATCCTGCTTGATGCTATTGTTTATCTCTGTGCTTCATCCTCAAGCTTCATGCCTTGTCTTCATTTTCCCATCTGCTTGATGCTTTTGTTAATCTCTGTGCTTCATCCTCAAGCGTCATGCCTTGTCGTCATTTTGCCATCCTGCTTGATGCTTTTGTTTATCTCTGTGCTTCATCCTCAAGCTTCATGCCTTGTCGTCATTTTGCCATCCTGCTTGATGCTTTTGTTAATCTCTGTGCTTCATCCTCAAGCTTCATACCTTGTCTTCATTTTTCCATCCTGCTTGATGCTATTGTTAATCTCTGTGCTTCATCTTCAAGCTTCATGCCTTGTCGTCATTCTGCCCTCCTGCTTGATGCTATTGTTAATCTCTGTGCTTCATCTTCAAGCTTCATGCCTTGTCTTCATTTTTCCATCCTGCTTGATGCTATTGTTAATATCTGTACTTCATCCTCAAGCTTCATGCCTTGTCTTCATTTTGCCATCCTGCTTGATGCTATTGTTTATCTCTGTGCTTCATCCTCAAGCTTCATCCCTTGTCGTCATTTTGCCATCCTGCTTGATGCTTTTGTTAATCTCTGTGCTTCATCCTCAAGCTTCATACCTTGTCTTCATTTTTCCATCCTGCTTGATGCTATTGTTAATCTCTGTGCTTCATCTTCAAGCTTCATGCCTTGTCGTCATTCTGCCCTCCTGCTTGATGCTATTGTTAATCTCTGTGCTTCATCTTCAAGCTTCATGCCTTGTCTTCATTTTTCCATCCTGCTTGATGCTATTGTTAATATCTGTACTTCATCCTCAAGCTTCATGCCTTGTCTTCATTTTGCCATCCTGCTTGATGCTATTGTTAATCTCTGTGCTTCATCTTCAAGCTTCATGCCTTGTCGTCATTCTGCCATCCTGCTTGATGCTTTTGTTTATCTCTGTGCTTCATCCTCAAGCTTCATGCCTTGTCGTCATTTTGCCATCCTGCTTGATGCTTTTGTTTATGTCTGTGCGTCATCCTCAAGCTTCATCCCTTGTCGTCATTTTGCCATCCTGCTTGATGCTTTTGTTAATCTTTGTGCGTCATCCTCAAGCTTCATGCCTTGTCGTCATTTTTCCATCCTGCTTGATGCTTTTGTTAATCTCTGTGCGTCATCCTCAAGCTTCATGCCTTGTCGTCATTTTGCCATCCTGCTTGATGCTTTTGTTAATCTCTGTACTTCATCCTCAAGCTTCATGCCTTGTCGACATTTTGCCATCCTGCTTGATGCTTTTGTTAATCTCTGTGCGTCATCCTCAAGCTTCATCCCTTGTCGTCATTTTGCCATCCTGCTTGATGCTTTTGTTAATCTCTGTGCGTCATCCTCAAGCTTCATGCCTTTTCGTCATTTTGCCATCCTGCTTGATGCTTTTGTTAATCTCTGTACTTCATCCTCAAGTTTCATCCCTTGTCGTCATTTTGCCATCCTGCTTGATGCTTTTGTTAATCTCTGTACTTCATCCTCAAGCTTCATCCCTTGTCGTCATTTTTCCATCCTGCTTGATGCTTTTGTTAATCTCTGTGCGTCATCCTCAAGCTTCATGCCTTGTCGTCATTTTGCCATCCTGCTTGATGCTTTTGTTAATCTCTGTGCGTCATCCTCAAGCTTCACCCCTTGTCGTCATTTTGCCATCCTGCTTGATGCTTTTGTTAATCTCTGTGCGTCATCCTCAAGCTTCATGCCTTGTCGACATTTTGCCATCCTGCTTGATGCTTTTGTTAATCTCTGTGCGTCATCCTCAGGCTTCATCCCTTGTCATTTTGCCATCCTGCTTGATGCTTTTGTTAATCTCTGTGCGTCATCCTCAAGCTTCATCCCTTGTCGTCATTTTGCCATCCTGCTTGATGCTTTTGTTAATCTCTGTGCGTCATCCTCAAGCTTCATCCTTTGTCGTCATTTTGCCATCCTGCTTGATGCTTTTGTTAATCTCTGTGCTTCATCCTCAAGCTTCATGCCTTTTCGTCATTTTGCCATCCTGCTTGATGCTTTTGTTAATCTCTGTACTTCATCCTCAAGCTTCATGCCTTGTCGTCATTTTGCCATTCTGCTTGATGCTTTTGTTAATCTCTGTACTTCATCCTCAAGCTTCATCCCTTGTCGTCATTTTGCCATCCTGCTTGATGCTTTTGTTAATCTCTGTGCGTCATCCTCAAGCTTCATGCCTTGTCGTCATTTTGCCATCCTGCTTGATGCTTTTGTTAATCTCTGTACTTCATCCTCAAGCTTCATGCCTTGTCGTCATTTTGCCATCCTGCTTGATGCTTTTGTTAATCTCTGTGCGTCATCCTCAAGCTTCATGCCTTGTCGTCATTTTGCCATCCTGCTTGATGCTTTTGTTAATCTCTGTGCGTCATCCTCAAGCTTCATCCCTTGTCATTTTGCCATCCTTCTTGATACTATTGTTAATCTCTGTGTATATGTAATCTTTGCTATTTAACCATTTCCTACCATCTTGATAAAGATACTGTCATCTGTACTGAAACGTCGCATAGCAGAGTTGCGTCCCTTAGGCATGCCAGAATCCTAGGATCGTGTGTTTGAATCCCAGATTCGCCCAGATGGTCGTAGGCTTCACCAAAGTGGTAAACGTCTGTGACCTGCATCACTTCGGGGTTTTCTACCACATGAAGCTGACACGCCGTGATATAACTGGAATACTGTTCAAAGCAGAGTTAAACCCAGCTCACTCACTCTTCATCTAAACAGGGAAGATTGTCCAGCGCCATGATAAAGACTGTTACTCTGTGGAGGATGTCACAGGCCGATGTGACGTCATTAGTAGTAAGCACATCATCCGGACAACTGACCATTACGACGCTGGGTCTACTATCAAGGTAATACCTCGACCGGTTTAATAAGGGTTATTCCTGTGTAACATGCAAGGTGACCGTTTATATGTGTGCGTATGCCTGTATGTGATAATTCCTTTGTGCAGCGTTCGTACGTATTTGTCTGATGTGAGGTTTTGTCGTTGTACGTTGTCTTATGTCTGTCCTTCCGGTTGTGCGTATGCCTCTATGTGATATCTATTTGTCTGTTGTGAGCAAATACGTGTTTAGCTCACCTTATTGAAAGTCAAGCGAGCTTATGTCGTTGCGGTTTGTCCGTTGTCTGCCTTGTCGGTTGCACGTCCATCCGGCTCCTCTAAGACAACAATGCCTGTGCTGATGAGACTGCATGAATGATCCCAGTTATGGCGTCTCCTGGACCACGGTTGCCATATTGAAAATGTCCTTTTTGCCGTTACTTAGCCATTTCTGCGTGTTTCATTTGAACCTGATATGCAGCATGCATGTGATATGCAGTATAACATAGAGTACGTAAGTTCCCTTTCTATTACAGAGGGACAGTGTCCATGTGCTGGCCCCCCATCCAGTATATTACTGGAGCTACGCCCCTGGCAGGGTCATAGAAGCGATTGGTCAGAAACTGACTGTCCGGTTCTATGACAACAATCAGACAAACATCGAGAAATGGGACGTGTATCCTGCCAGGAACCGAGAGAAACATCTCAAGGACGTGGAGGACATTCGCCAGCGAGAGAAAGACTGGGAGGGGAAGGAGGCCGTCATCAGAGACGAGTCAGGGGTGTACAGACTGGGTAGGTCACCAGACACACGTCAGGGGTGTACAGACTGGGTAGTTCACCAGAGACGAGTCAGGGGTGTACAAACTGGGTAGGTCATCAGAGACGAGTCAGGGTTGTACCGACTGGGTAGGTCACCAGACACACGTCAGGGGTGTACAGACTGGGTAGGTCATCAGAGACGAGTCAGGGTGTACAGACTGGGTAGATCACCAGGAGAAGACTCAGGGATGTACAGACTGGGTAGGTCACCAGAGACGAATCAAGGGTGTACAGACTGGGTAGGTCACCAGGAGAAGAGTCAGGGGTGTACAGACTGGGTAGGTCACCAGGAAATGAGTCAGGGGTGTACAGACTGGGTACGTAACCAGGAGAAGACTCAGGGATGTACAGACTGGGTAGGTCACCAGGAGAAGAGTCAGGTTGTACAGACTGGGTAGGTCACCAGGAGACGAGTCAGGAGTGTACAGACCGGGTAGGTCACCAGGATAGGACTCAGGGGTGTACAGACTGGGTAGGTCACCAGGAGACGAGTCAGGGGTGTACAGACAGGGTAGGTCACCAGGAGAAGAGTCAGGGGTGTACAGACAGGGTAGGTCACCAGGAGAAGAGTCAGGGGTGTACAGACAGGGTAGGTCACCAGGAGAAGAGTCAGGTTGTACAGACTGGGTAGGTCACCAGGAGACGAGTCAGGAGTGTACAGACCGGGTAGGTCACCAGGATAGGACTCAGGGGTGTACAGACTGGGTAGGTCACCAGGAGACGAGTCAGGGGTGTACAGACTGGGTAGGTCACCAGGAGAAGAGTAAGGGATGTACAGACTGGGTAGGTCACCAGGAGAAGAGTCAGGTTGTACAGACTAGGTAGGTCACCAGGAGACGAGTCAGGGGTGTACAGACTGGGTAGGTCACCAGGATAGGACTCAGGGGTGTACAGACTGGGTAGGTCACCAGGAGAAGAGTCAGGGTTGTACCGACTGGGTAGGTCACCAGACACACGTCAGGGGTGTACAGACTGGGTAGGTCATCAGAGACGAGTCAGGGTGTACAGACTGGGTAGATCACCAGGAGAAGACTCAGGGATGTACAGACTGGGTAGGTCACCAGAGACGAATCAAGGGTGTACAGACTGGGTAGGTCACCAGGAGAAGAGTCAGGGGTGTACAGACTGGGTAGGTCATCAGAGAAGAGTCAGGGTTGTACAGACTGGGTAGATCACCAGGAGAATAGTAAGGGATGTACAGACAGGGTAGGTCACCAGGAGAATAGTAAGGGATGTACAGACTGGGTAGATCACCAGGAGAAGACTCAGGGATGTACAGACTGGGTAGGTCACCAGGAAATGAGTCAGGGGTGTACAGACTGGGTACGTAACCAGGAGAAGACTCAGGGATGTACAGACTGGGTACGTAACCAGGAGAAGACTCAGGGGTGTACAGACTGGGTACGTAACCAGGAGAAGAGTAAGGGATGTACGGACTGGGTAGGTCACCAGGAGAAGAGTAAGGGGTGTACAGACAGGGTAGGTCACCAGGAGAATAGTCAGGGGTGTACAGACAGGGTAGGTCACCAGGAGACGAGTCAGGGGTGTACAGACCGGGTAGGTCACCAGGATAGGACTCAGGGGTGTACAGACTTGGTAGGTCACCAGGAGACGAGTCAGGGGTGTACAGACAGGGTAGGTCACCAGGAGAAAAGTCAGGGGTATACAGACTGGGTAGGTCACCAGGAGAAGAGTCAGGGATGTACGGACTGGGTAGGTCACCAGGAGAAGAATCAGGTTGTACAGACTGGGTAGGTCACCAGGAGACGAGTCAGGGGTGTACAGACAGGGTAGGTCACCAGGAGAAGAGTAAGGGGTGTACAGACAGGGTAGGTCACCAGGAGAATAGTCAGGGGTGTACAGACTGGGTAGGTCACCAGGAGAAGAGTAAGGGGTGTACAGACAGGGTAGGTCACCAGGAGAATAGTCAGGGGTGTACAGACAGGGTAGGTCACCAGGAGACGAGTCAGGGGTGTACAGACCGGGTAGGTCACCAGGATAGGACTCAGGGGTGTACAGACTTGGTAGGTCACCAGGAGACGAGTCAGGGGTGTACAGACAGGGTAGGTCACCAGGAGAAAAGTCAGGGGTATACAGACTGGGTAGGTCACCAGGAGAAGAGTCAGGGATGTACGGACTGGGTAGGTCACCAGGAGAAGAATCAGGTTGTACAGACTGGGTAGGTCACCAGGAGACGAGTCAGGGGTGTACAGACAGGGTAGGTCACCAGGAGAAGAGTAAGGGGTGTACAGACAGGGTAGGTCACCAGGAGAATAGTCAGGGGTGTACAGACTGGGTAGGTCACCAGGAGAAGAGTAAGGGGTGTACAGACAGGGTAGGTCACCAGGAGAATAGTCAGGGGTGTACAGACAGGGTAGGTCACCAGGAGACGAGTCAGGGGTGTACAGACCGGGTAGGTCACCAGGATAGGACTCAGGGGTGTACAGACTTGGTAGGTCACCAGGAGACGAGTCAGGGGTGTACAGACAGGGTAGGTCACCAGGAGAAAAGTCAGGGGTATACAGACTGGGTAGGTCACCAGGAGAAGAGTCAGGGATGTACGGACTGGGTAGGTCACCAGGAGAAGAATCAGGTTGTACAGACTGGGTAGGTCACCAGGAGACGAGTCAGGGGTGTACAGACAGGGTAGGTCACCAGGAGAAGAGTCAGGGGTATACAGACTGGGTAGGTCACCAGGAGAAGAGTCAGGGATGTACAGACTGGGTAGATCACCAGGACAAGAGTCAGGGGTGTACAGACTGGATAGGTCACCAGAGACGAGTCAGGGATATTCAGAATGGGTAGGTGACCATAGACGAGTCAGGGTTGTTCAGACTGGGTAGGTCACCAGAGACGAGTTAGAATAGGTCACCAGACACATGAGGGTGGTACAGACTGGGTAAGTCATCAGAGACGAGTCAGAATAGGTCACCTGACACATTAGGGGTGTACAGACGGGATAGGTCACCAGAGACGAGTCTGGGGTGTACAGACTGGGTAGGTCACCAGAAACGAGCCAGGGTGTACAGACTGGGTAGGTCACCAGACACACGTAGAGACAGGGTAGGTCACCAGAGACAATCAGGAGATGTTCAACTCGTGCACGTCGTCAGGGGTGTACTGACAGGGTTGGTGACCAGAGACGAGTCAGGGGTGTACAGGCTGGGTAGTTCACCAGACACACGTCAGGGGTGTACAGACTGGGTAGGTAACCAGAGACGAGTCAGGGGTGTACAGACTGGGTAGGTCACCAGAGACGAGTTAGAATAGGTCACCAGACACATCAGGGTGGTACAGACTGGGTAAGTCATCAGAGACGAGTCAGAATAGGTCACCTGACCGAAAGGGGTGAACAGACGGGATAGGTCACCAGAGACGAGTCTGGGGTGTACAGACTGGGTAGGTCACCAGACACACGTAGAGACAGGGAAGGTCACCAGAGACGATCAGGAGATGTTCAACCCGTGCACGTCGTCAGACACAGAAGGGTATAAGACGTGGGTATCTGTACTGTTTTGATAATTGGGATGCTTCGTGATCCGACCCTAGGTAGTGCCACGAACGAAATCGTGGTCGATAAACAATACTATTACCTTTCTAGGTAAAGTTGAAAAACAGATAGGACGTCAGCAGAGGTACACCGTGACATGGGAGGATGGCAAGTGCGGTGATCAGATGTCCATCCACATCTATGGAACCTTCTCCAAGATGATCAAGTTCAAGGTCGGCAGCTACATCCTGGCACTTGCTGACCCTGACGACAACTATTTCCTTCCGGGTGAAGTGACAAGGGTCCACGAAGATGGAGATGTTCAAAGGCTACACGTGGTGTTTGTCAATGGGAAAAGGTATTACTAGAAGATGGATAAAGGATTCTGTTTTACTTTCATCAAGGCACGGCAAATATACTTTCAAAAAAAGAAACTTGACATAGATGTAAAACCGCTTTTTGCCAAATATCTAAAATAATTACATTAAATGAGAACCAAATAAGTGTTAAATAAGATGATGTGTCTATAATTCGCGAAAACACATGCAAAGCACATAAACGTAGCGTTTGGGGATCAATTTTACAGCTTCATCCAAACACAACCGCCTGTAAAAAGCGTGCAGCACAGGATCCTGCATTTGGGCATGCAGGTCCCCCTGCTGAATGGGTATAAAAATCCACATCAACGGCTGTTCATACAGTCCTTATAACGGCAGTAGAAGCGGTGACAGAATGCCAAGACTGAATGCAGCTCAACGGAACAACGCCATTGGGAGATTACAAGCTGGAGCAACTCAGCAAGAAGTGGCCAGGCACTTTGGCGTATCCAGACAGACTATCTCCGCACTGTGGACCCTATACAACAACACCAACAGAGTTGACGACAGACCAAGGTCAGGAAGACCAAGGGTGACAACCCAAGCACAAGATCGATACATCCGGCTGCGACACCTCCGAGACCGCACTACCAGTCACGTCTACAACCACACAGATCCCTGTGGTACGCAGAATATCAGATCAAACGGTACGCAACAGACTGAGGGAGGCTGGACTTTTTGCACGAAGACCTGTTCGACGTCATGTATTGACCCCAGGTCATCTGGCGGACCGTCTGCGTTGGTGCCAACAGAGGGTTAGATGGGCACGTGCAAGGTGGAGAAAAAATGTACTGTTTACTGACGAGTCCCGTTTCCTACTCACACGTGCTGATGGGCGCGCACATGTCTACGTCGGGATGAATGTTACGCCCCCAACTGTGTGCAGCAGGTTGTCCCATTTGGCGGGAGTGTCATGGTATGGGCCGGAATTCATCACGGTGGTAGGACGCCTCTCGTGCATGTGGCAGGTGCATTGACAGGTGTGCGTTACAGAAATTTGATCCTACAGCCTTACGTTCTTCCTCACGTCAACGTTCATGGCGGAGAGTTCCAGCAGGACAACGATCGACCGCATATTGCACGTGTTTGTCAGGACTTCTTATAGCACAACAACATACAGACATTACCTTGGCCAGCCCGGTCACCAGATTTGTCCCCGATTGAGCATCTGTGGGACGAGTTGGATCGACGCGTTCGCAGAAGGAATCCACCGCCCCAAACACTTCCGGCGCTTCTTGATGCACTTCAGCATGAATGGCAGCACATCCAACAGCGTGTTATTGACAACTTGATTGCATCTATGGGTCGTCGGTGTCAAGCGGTGATTGATGCACGTGGTGGGCACAACCGATACTGACATTTTCTGTACCCCTGTTACATTAACTGTATCGTGTACGTGTGTCACAATTAATGTTTTGAACATTGTGTACATTGATCTTCAAACAGTTTCAATTATGGTTTCTGTGTCCTATTTTGAAACAATAGCATTATATTACATTTTGAAAGTCAGTGTCAAGTTTCTTTTTTTGAAGAGTATAGATTTGAAAACTTGTTTTCTTATCGTGATCCTATTCAAATGTTTAGTTACGGATTACCATCATCTAATAACTTCATCACTTCATCGTCATCATCATCGTCGTCATCATCATCATCATCATCATCATCATCATCATCATATCATCACAAGTGGATGCTAATTTCATTTCCATCCCAAAGAGGAGTATGTAAGGTGTATGTAGACAATAACACACGAGTTGCTGATATCGGAAAACAGCACACGATACGTTTTGTTGCTGTCTCCTATCTCGTTACAAGGACGGTTTCTAAACTTGCTTTATTGAGCGAAAATACGCCTTACACATCCATCACTATTAAGAATGACACTCAACGACAAAGAGATTATTACTCGTGTGTATCCGTATCTTAAATGTTATATATTAGATATCATTGCTTCCCTTATACAGTAAACTACGGTTATAACGAACTTAAGGGACCACTATATTCAGTTCGTAAGAACCGTGTTCGTTATAAGCACATATACAGCATAATTACAGCAAATGGACAGGACCAAGAACAGTTCGTTATATCCGTCAGTTCGTTATAAGCGTGTTCGTTATAAACGTTACTGTATATGCAATTTTCGGTACTGCATACTACCAACAATTCGTACTCCAACTGTAAAAACAAGATATTTGATGGATGACAACATCTTTATTATATTATGATGCGACGTTTCGGTTTTGTCTTTACTGTTATTTCCCAACTCCTAAAAATGCCAATCACACAGTTCGTATTCCACCAGTTTCAAAGCTTTTGCGTCTCTCTAGGCTCTTTTTACTACTTTCGCCTCATATTTTTTAATTATGAGCCAAAAATGTATTTATTTTTGCCTTCGTTAGTCATACAATAGATGCCTGATAATAATCACAAAATACCCATTTCAGCAGCAGATAAGACATATATATGTTTTTACGATTCAGCAATTGTGCCAGACCTGTTTTCGGTCCCATATGGTAGCATGTAATAGTGAATAGTGAGTGAGTATGGTTTTACGCCGCTTTTAGCAATATTCCAGCAATATCACGGCGGGGGACACCAGAAATGGGCTTCACACATTGTTACCATGTCGGGAATCGAACCCAGGTCTTCGGCGTGACGAGCGAACGCTTTAACCACTAGGCTACCCGACTGCCCCTGTAATAGTGAATATGTGACAAAGGGGGACTAATCTCAGATATCGGGTGCCAAGTTACTGGTTCTAGATTCTGTAATTAATACCTGCAGACACTGCCATTGTGTAGTTCCTGTTGTTTATTGTTCTGATCTCGGAGTCACCAGCAGTGGAGGTCGGGGGACTTGAAATACATTGCTGGAGCTGCCAATTTGCCCTTGCCTAGTCCTCCTTTAAATGTCATCCGTGATGTAGGGTTCGGACATCTTATATGGGTATATATGTAAAGACAGGGAGGTTCGTCGTCGTGGGCTACAGCAGTATTGTATGGAGGCGAACACACCTACTCTGTCACTCACTGATTCTGGTTTCAGGTCAAAGGATGCCCTCTCCACGGATAGTTACTGGATGAATAAGATGGCCTACACTGAGGCGGAGGAGGTGTTTCTGACGCATCACCCCGACAGTAGTGACGAGGAAGAGTTCTCTCGTTAAGAGTCGGCTGCACTCAGCTCATCTCCATCCCATGTATGTCATCTCGGATAACATCTGGAGGAATCCATTTTGAAACTAGATTTACCAGTTTCACACTTCGCGTGACTATGACATAATAATATGGCACAATTTCTTTCTCAAAATCGGCCGCCATGTTGTACGAGCTTTTCGCCAAGGGATCAATCGGTGTGCGGTCTACGGTGAATTCATGCAATGTCTCTACACCATTGCTGCCCGAGGTATTATGTAGGTGGCGGAGTTTCCCGAGTGGAAATGAATGGACTATGCAGCTTGTTAAAACATCTTCTTCTCTGTTTCATCAACGAGTTTTTTAAATGAAACACGATAACAAACGTTGAAGAGCAGTTACGTTTATTTACAAATAGTCAACAGTACATTTGAGAGTGTGAACATATCATTGCTACTTCAATCAAGCGGGGTGGTTTTCAAATACAGTAAACTACGGTTATAACGAACTCAAAGGGACCACTAATTTTAGTTCGCTATAGCCGTAGTTCGTTATATGCATATATACAGCATAACGACAGCAAATAGTCGGGGCAAAAAAAGTAAGTTCGTTATATCCGTCAGTTCGTTATAAGCGTGTTCGTTATAAACGTAGTTTACTGTATACCAATTGCTGATAGTATCATAGACAGTAAAACCCCGTTAATCCCGACAGTGTGGACTATACCGGAAAAAACAACTACAGTAATCTACGGTTATAACGAACTCAAAGGGACCACTGATTTTAGTTGGATATAACCGTAGTCCGGTAAAAACATATATACAGCAAATGCCCGGGACCAACAATATGTTCGTTATATCCGTCAGTTCGTTATAAGCGTGTTCGTTATATACGTAGTTTACTGTATATACACTAGGAATCTTTGGTACAAAGAAACATATCTATATGTTGACGTTTTTTACAGTTAAAGTCTGGAGAATAAGAAAGTCCGGTTTACGGGGGGTTCAGTTTATACAATTTATACTGCAGCGGTAGTCATTGGTACAAGGCTCTGCGATTTTAGCCAACAGACTGCGGCGACACGAATGTGGTTAAACTCTGTTATATATACGGCTATTTTATATACGCTAGGTTTTGTTCTATCGACTAACCTTCTGAAACCCGAAACCCTCTGCTCTGCTGGTGTTAGTTTGTATGTAACTTCATAGGTAGTCTGCAACTTGTGTCATTCGATACCGAAGACCAATGAAACCCATGTTAATGCCGACCAATCGCATTCTCCAAGAATTAGGCCACGACCAGTTTTACTGGTTGAACTCGTTGGTCTACTGGTAGAGCGTCCGCCCGGAGCGGAAGGTCCGGGTTCGAACCTCGGCCTCGTCATACCAAAAGAAGTTAAAAGATGGTACGTGTTGTTACCCTGCCTTGGGGCTAAAACAAGGACTGGTCTGCTCGGAGTCAGTGTCTAAGCCGGGTATTCATGTTAAACTGCATTATAATATCTCAGTGGGCTAGCACTATAAAATCGGCACACACACATGGGTGTATGCACGTCGCTTTATAAGTGCGATAATCTTAAACACGACGTTAAACCCCATTTCACCTCACGTCACCTACTGAGGTAGACAGGAGCCCAGTCAAACAAGCGATGACGCATTGTGTGAGAACACAATGACGTTGAAGAACTAAAACTGTAGTGATAAATATAATTTGCCAGCCGTGGTAAAACACATTCACTTATTTCAAATATTCTATGATTCAGAGACCCGCGAAGATCTGGATTAGAATTGATCTTCAGCAACCTAGCTTGTCGTAAGAGGCGACTAACGGAATCGGATGGTCAGGCTCGCTGACTTGGTTGATGCATGTCATCGTATCCCAATTGCCTGGATCGATGCTCATGATATCAATCACTGGATTATCTGTTCCATACTCAATTATGTATAAACCGCCGTCATATAGCTAGAATATTGCTGAGTGTGGCGTTAAACAACAAACAAACAATTCTGTGATTCAATATAATTATCTCCTTTTAACTATTTTTGTTCAGGTATTTTGATCAGGTAAATCATGATCGTGTCTAATGAAAGTTGCAGCAGTGTTAAGAAATTATCATTGGTGTTGAATAAGACATGATGTTACGTTGTTTTTTTTAAGATTTTGTAAAGAAAAATAATAAATTGGTACAATACAGTTTTATTGTTGAGAAACGTGTCTCGTGTGTTTTCTTCTTTTTCCATCAAAGGGGTAAGAGGCGACTAACGGGATCGGGTGGTCAGGCTCGCTGACTTGGTTGATTCATGTCATCGATCCCAATTGCGTGGATGATGCCAATCACTGGATTGTCTGGTCCAGACTCGATTATTTACAGACCGCTGTCATACAGCTGGCATATTGCTGAGTTCGGCGTTAAACAACAAACCATCCAACCAAATCTTCAAAGAGCCCTGGATGGGAGTAGAATAACTGCGTGTAGCGCCGCTTTGACCAGTACTTCCGTCCAATCAGAACGTGTCAGATTAACGTCGAAAACCAAAGTGTCGGAGCCCTTTGACATTTATAGTGAGTGAGTGAGTGAGTGAGTTTGGTTTTTACGCCGCTTTCAGCAATATTCCAGCAATATCACGGCGGGGGACACCAGAAATGGGCTTCACACATTGTACCCATGTCGGGAATCGAACCCGGGTCTTCAGCGTGACGAGCGAACGCTTTAACCACTAGGCTACCCGACCGCCCCGACATTTATAGTGAGAACACCCAGTATCATAATCGGACAGAAGCAGGTATTCACAACATGAAGCTGATCCTGACTGAAAACATTTATTGTATCAATTATTGTTATTAATACATGCACAGCTGTTAATTTTCAATAGTTATCAAGAGTGTATATTTGGAATATACAAACGAAATAACTTTGCTGTTGCTCTTACCGGTGTACTTGTTTTTCGTCGATCGTTCAGTTTTGTTCTACATAATCAACCTATATATTGAACACAATAAAGATAGAAGGAACCGCTAAAATTGCAAAAGAATTTCTGCAAGAGGTAGTTTATCTAAAACCGCCGACTGAGTAAGTGAGGGAGTTGGATTTAACGCCATTATGATCAGTGTCCAAGTAAAATCACGGCGTGTGAGTTTATTGTGTGAGTGAGGGAACTGGATTAGTGAGTGAGTGAGTTGGGGTTAACGCCACTTTTAACAGTATGCCAGTTACATGACGGCTTGTGGGAGGAAAGCCCGAAGTGATGCAGGTCTCAGACGTTTACCACTTCGGTGAAACCCACGAGCACGGGTATGGTGTTGGCAAACCTAGAAACATGACCTGGCGTGCCCAAGGGACGCAACTCTGCACAGCGAATCGCGGCGCCTCAGACGACTGGGCCACCCGTGCCCCCGGGAACTGGATTAACGATGACGCGGCATGTGTATGGTGCTGACAGATAAAGGATCCTAATTAGTGTGTATATGGGATTCAAACTCGTGAACAGAGGATCCTGGTATGCTGAGGGACGTAACTCTCCACGACACCTCTTTGAGGAATGTGTTTCTTTCAGGGTTAATTCTCAGAAATGTTAGAGTTGCAATTGTTGCGAGTTGATCCCCAAATTGACACGCGAAGGTCAACACAGACATGGGTACGCACTGAACTAGCTGGGGAAATCGGTAAAAAAGGACACAAGATGAATGAAAAATTAACAAATTATTTTAAAAAAGAAGAAGATAGGGTTTACATTCATAAAAGGCAATACAATGGCACATACGCGGCAGCAGTATTATATAAAAACAGGCCCTAAGTCGGACCAGTCACGAATGATCAGTATGTGCCCCGGCCCGCGAAGATCCGGGGTAGAATAGGTCTCCAGCAACCCATGCTTGCCGTTAAAGGCGACTATGTTTGTCGTAAGAGGCGACTAACGGGATCGGGTGGTCAGGCTTGCTGATTTGGTTGATGCATGTCATCGATCCCAATTGCGTGGATCGATGCTCATGATGTCAATCACTGGATTGTGTGGTTCAGACTCGATTACTTACAGACCGCCGTCGGGTAGCCGAATGGTCAAAGTGTTCGCCCGTCACGCCGAAGACCCGGGTTCGATTCCCGACATGGGTACAATGTGTGAAGCCCATTTCTGGTGTCCCCCGCCGTGTTGTTGCTGGAATTGCTGAAAGCGGCGTAAAACCATACTCACTCACTCACTCTAGACGATACTGCCTGAAAAGTAGTTCCTGCCGGAAGTTGATAACTTCACGCGGGCTTTACTTACCTGCTAACACGTGGCCGAGGATAGGCCTTGTGTCAGTGTTTCTTTCCCGATGTGTATTCCTACGGATTAATCACTGGTGGAGCTGATATTATTCATTATGAATTAAAGACGGATCAATAACTACTTTGAAGGATATTATTCCTATGTAGGTTCGATTCACATGGACTTTGTACTACAAGATATCAGTGAGTATCCAATTAATGTTACATTAGTAAATCAAAATTTCAACTGGTGAAGTCACACAATTGCTATTATCCGTGGGCTGAAAACTACCAGATACCTATGAAATGTTTGTTTTTACTTTGTTTTATTTCTTTCATTTTGTTGCACTACTTCATTCAAATGTACATGAACCAAGAAAAAAGTATAGTTATATTTTCCATCACTTTATTGATACTACAAGGATTAATGGCCCCCATTACGGTATATCATTATATCACTTTGCTGCAGTCTGCCATGTTTCATGAATCTATCAAAATCTGCAATAACTGAAAAGATCAAGATGACATCAATGAACTGTAGGGGTATTCATGACAGGGTTAAAAGACAACAGACATTTCATTTTCTTAAGCGTAAAAGGTCCACAATATACTGTTTGCAAGATGTACATTTTACTGAAGATATGAAACAGACAATATGCCAAGAATGGGGTAACAAACATTGCTTCTTTAGCTCATATAAAAGTAACGCTCGTGGTGTCGACATACTCTTTTCAAATAATCTTGCGTTTAATCTTGACACTATCTTTTGTGATGATAAGGGCAATATGAGTACAATTGAAATCACGATAGATAAATATAAACTTGGATTGATAAATTTGTATGGACCAAATACTGATGATCCGAAGTTTTATGAAGAATTGAACCTGTTGACAAAATCTTTAGGCAGCGATCACATTGTAATTTGTGGCGATTGGAATGTAGTCCAAGATTTCTTTATGGATACATATAATTACAAGCAGATGAATAATAAAAATGCCCATGAGCGTATTGAGCAGTTCAAAGATGAACTCGACCTAATTGAGCCTTGGCGATACAGTCACCATGCAGACAGAAGGTACACCTGGCGACAACCTACTCCGCTAAAACAGGCTCGACTCGACTATTTCTTAGTTTCCCACAATATGTTATCATCTATAACTAATACATCTATTGAACCCAGTTCCAAGTCAGATCATTCCCCTGTATCGATAACATTCACTCAGATATGCATAGGGGGAGATGGTACTGGAAATTCAACAATTCGCTTTTGAGAGATCCAGATTATGTGAAAAAATTAGAAATGTCATATCTGAAACTATACGACAATACAAAAATGATAATAGTGATTCTGCAAATGAATTTTCGATCGATGAACAACTTTTCTTTGAAACTCTTTTATTAATTATAAGAGGAGAAACCATATAGTACTCTTCTTACAAGAAAAAAGTGAGAAATAAAATAGAACAGGAACTATTGGAAACATTACAATGTAAAGAAATTAAATTGGACGAATGTGAAAAAGAAGATATGAAACAAACTTTATTGAACGAAATCAAGAAATTGCAACTAGAACTAGAAGATATTATAAGGGTAAAAACTCAAGGGCAAATGATAAGAGCAAAAGCAACCTGGATAGAAAAGGGTGAAAAACCAACCTCCTATTTTCTGAGTCTAGAGTCGCGAAATTTTCTGAATAAATCATTCACTGAAATAAATAATTCAAATGGGCGTTTGCTCGATAATCTTACTGATATTCAAAACGAAGTCAAACTTTTCTTTTAAAAATTTAAACGTACAGTCAATTGTACTAGTCTATCATAAAGACCCTGAAACAAATATATCCAATACAGCCCATGCAAGTCTATAAGATGTATTACTGCAGTATGAGAATGAAGAAAGTCTCTAGGCTCCTTTTTATTATATTTTACAACTATAATTTAACAACTGTTGTTTTTCTCTAAGAGACTAGATGTTAGATTCAAGAGCACATGTTCATGAATGACTATCAAAAAGTGATGACACCAGGTGTTCGCGAAAAACTGAACGTATCCAGTCCCAACGGTGGAACCCGTCACAAACACATGCAAAGGCAAGTCAATCGTTCACCCGATAAAAACACGGGAACATATGGTATAAGTCAAAATAGGGAACTGCATAGAGCATCTACATGTCCTCCACGTGTCTACCATAAAACAATTGGAAAACTTTACTGGGGTTTTGAATGTTGTAATCTTGATTAAACAACTTTTGAGCAAGAGTCGTATGACGCTCGTGGAAAACACGCAAAATAAAATTGCAAAGAGGATTGTTATCCCTTTTTCTGCGAACGCTTTTACCAAAAGGTTAAACCACAGCCCCGTTCTTCCTCGTCCGTAACGTTTTACCCTACTTACTATTTTTTTGTATGTTAGGATACTATGAATGTCTGAAATATATATTTTGTGGCATGATGCTTTTGAAAAATAGTTATGATCATAGTTTTAATTAAACTACCTCGGTATATACAGGTAGTTCGTATGAATTAGATATTCAATTTCATATGGAGGCATTTCTAAGGGGCACGACGCCTACCAAATTATGTCATAGTCACGTGTATTGTGAAACTAGTGCATCTAGTTCTAATATGGATTCCTCTAGAGATGCTTTCCGAGATGACATAGAGATGAGCTGAGAGGAGCCTACTCTTAACGAGAGTACTCTTCCTCGTCACTACTGTCGGGGTGATGCGTCAGAAACTCCTGCTCCGCCTCTGTGTAGGCCATCTCATTCATCCAGTAACTATCCGTGGAGAGGGCATCCTTTGACCTGAAACCAGAATCAGTGAGTGACAGAGTAGGTGTGTACGCCTCCATACAATACCCGCTGTAGCCCACGACGACGAACCTCCCTGTCTTTACATATATATATACCCATAGAAGGGTTAGAACCCTATAGCATGGAGGACGTTTTAAAAGAGGACTAGGCAAGGGCAAATTGGCAGTTCCAGCAATGTATGAGAAGCAAACAAGCAGCATCAAGTGTTCACATAAAAAAAGAGAATCTATTTGCTGTGTCTTGATGAAGATAGAACTGAACCCGTTATACATCTTCTAGTAATACCTTTCCCCGTTGACAAACAACACGTGAAGCCTTTGACCATCTCCATCTTCGTGGACCCTTGTCACTTCAACCTGCTCGTTCTCGAGTATACGTTACATGAAGCAAATGTTTTAATCTCTGATCCATGAACTTTGACAGACAAAATAACCAAAAACATCATACATGGAAATAAAAAAAAGCAGACAAACAAATAAATAAAGCAATACCTTCGGCCGTCGATAAAGACGACATCGAGTAGGTCTGCATCTCCTAAGGTTGTGACCTTCCTAACCTGACCCGGAAGGAAATGCGCGCTGTCGCTGTCAACGAGTGCCAGGATGTAGCTGCCGACCTTGAACTTGATCGTCTTGTTGTAGGTTCCATAGATGTGGATGGACATCTGTTCCCCGCACTGACCATCCTGCCATGTTACGTTGTACATCGGCTGACATCCTATCTGTTTGTTTACTCTACCTAGAAACGCAATGGTATTTGATTATGAACCGCCGATCAGTTCGTGGCACTTATAAGGCTCCGATATATACTTATGTTCTACTCGATGTGTCTCTGGTGACCTACCCTGTCTGTACATCCCTGACTCGTCTCCTGATGACCTACCCAGTCCGTACATCCCTGACTCGTCTCCTGGTGACCTACCCAATCTGTACACCCCTGACTCGTCTCTGATGACCTACCCCGTCTGTACACCCCTGACTCGTCTCCTGGTTACCTACCCTGTCTGTACAGCCCTGACGCGTTTAGTGGTGACCTACCCAGTCAGTACACCCCTGACTCGTCTCTGGTGACCTACCCAGTCTGTACACGCCTCACTCTTCTCCTGATGACCTACCCTGTCTGCACACCCCTGACTCGTCTCTGATGACCTACCCAGTCTGTACACCCCTGACTAATCTCCTGGTGACCTACCAAGTCTGTACACCCCTGACTCGTCTCCTGGTCACCTACCAAGTTTGTACACCCCTGACCCGTCTCTGGTGACCTACCCAGTCTGTACAACCCTGACGTGTCTCTGGTGACCTACCCAGTCTGTACACCCCTGACGTGTCTCTGGTGACCTACCCATTCTGTACACCCCTGACTCTTCTCCTGGTGACCTACCAAGTCTGTACACTCTTGACGTGTCTCTGGTTACCTGGGGCGGTCGGGGAGCCTAGTGGTTAAAGCGTTCGCTCGTCACGCCGAAGACCCGGGTTCGATTCCCGACATGGGTACAATATGTGAAGCCCATTTCTGGTGTCCCCCGCCGTAATATTGCTGGTATAATGCTAAAAGCGGCGTAAAATCAAACTCACTCACTCACTCTGGTGACCTACCCAGTCTGTACACCCCTGACGTGTATCTTGTGACCTACCCAGTCTGTACACCCCTGACTCGTCTCTGATGACCTACCCAGTCTGTACACCCCTGACTCTTCTACTGGTGACCTACCCAGTCTGTACACCCCTGACTTGTCTCTGATGACCAACCCAGTCTGTACACCCCTGACATGTCTCTGATGACCTACCCAGTCTGTACACCCCTGACTCGTCTCTGATGACCAACCCAGTCTGTACACCCCTGACGTGTCTCTGGTGACCAACCCAGTCTGTACACCCCTGACGTGTGTCTGGTGACCTACCCAGTCTGTACACCCCTGACATGTCTCTGATGACCTACCCAGTCTGTACACCCCTGACTCGTCTCTGATGACCTACCCAGTCTGTACACCCCTGACGCGTTTAGTGGTGATCTACCCAGTCTGTACACCCCTGACGTGTGTCTGGTGACCTACCCAGTCTGTACACCCCTGACGTGTGTCTGGTGACCTACCCAGTCTGTACACCCCTGACGTGTGTCTGGTGACCTACCCAGTCTGGACACCCCTGACGTGTGTCTGGTGACCTACCCAGTCTGTACACCCCTGACGTGTGTCTGGTGACCTACCCAGTCTGGACACCCCTGACGTGTGTCTGGTGACCTACCCAGTCTGTACACCCCTGACTCGTCTCTGATGACGGCCTCCTTCCCCTCCCAGTCTTTCTCTCGCTGTTGAATGTCCTCCACGTCCTTGAGATATTTCTCCCGGTTCCTGGCAGGATACACGTCCCATTTCTCGATGTTTGTCAGCTTGTTGTCATAGAACCGGACAGTCAGTTTCTGACCAATCGCTTCTATGACCCGGCCAGGGGCGTAGCTCCAGTAATATACAGGATGGGGGGCCAGCACACGGACACGGTCTCTCTGGGATAAAAAGGGAACTGACTCACTCGTGGTTTCCACAAAGTACTGGTTACACAGAGGAAGAAAATGGTTGAACATTTTAACAAGTTCATGAAGATGTGTGTTTATCCACGCGGTCGGTAACATTCCATGCAACTATAAGTCGGCGGCCTTTAAATAATCGAGTCTGGACCAGACAAACCAGTGACTGATATTATAAGCAACGTTCCACGCCCATTCATGACCAACCCGTGTCATTGAGGGACATGCCACTTCTTTAAGGTTACGAGTGAGTGAGTGAGTTGGGTTTAACGCCGCTTTTAACATTATTCCAGTTACATCGCGGCGTGTCAGCTTAATGTGGGAGGAAAGCCCGAAGTGATGCAGGTCTCAGACGTTGACCACTTCGGTGAAACCCTCGAGCACGGGTATGGTGCTGACAAACCTTGAAATATAATCGGAGTGAACCGGGATTCGAACCCACAATCATAGGTTTCTGGCGTGCCCAAGGGACGCAACTCTGCACAGCGAATTGCGGCGCCTTAGACGACTGGGCCACCCGTGCCCCCTTAAAGTTACGAAAGGATGCAGGTGGTGACAAATGGTCCTTTGCCGCCGGGGCACGACTACACGCAATCATGCAAATCCCAGACAAACAGATCCATTAAGTCCCACCGTATGACGGGTATTTGTTCCATGGACGCTTGGTCGCTCGTCACGCAGAAGACCCGGGTTCGATTCCCGACATGGGTACAATGTGTGAAGCCCATTTCTGGTGACCTCCGCCGTGATATTGCTGATATATTGCTAAAAGCGGCGTAAAACCATACTCACTCACTCACTCATTCCATGGACCCTTTGCTAACCCGGAAGTCCCAGGGGGACGACAGAGGTTCTAACAAATTAACAAATACGCGAAACACCATTCTCAGACACAAGGAGATAGAGAATAAAGAAGTTTGGGACTGTTTGGACTTCTCTGTTTTCTGGAAATACAAAATATAGGATGGCTAACCTTCGCCTGGACCATCCTCCCGACAGCCGACAGTTAAGTCTGATTTCCATGGCAACCGCGTCTGATAATGCCCAATTTGTGGATATACTTTGATGACTGGCTAGTGTGAGGTCGGGATATACATGACCCGTGAAGATTCCGGGGTAGAATAGGTCTTCAGCAACCAATGCTTGCCGTAAAAGGTGACTACGCTTGTCGTAAGAGGCGACTAACGGGATCGGGTGGTCAGGCTCGCTGACTTGTTTGATGCATGTCATCGTATCCTAATTGCGTGAATCGATGCTCAAGATGTCGATCAATGGATTGTCTGGTCCAGACTCGATTATTTACAGACCGCAAAAATGTAAATATTGTAGACGGCACACCACATGCGCATGCAGAGAACCAGTTTTAAGATGATGCATGCAGAAATGACCGGGTAATTGCCAAAAATGACATTTGCATATGATCTCTGTAGTTTCGGATTAGATGTAAAAAATACAAAAGATAACGATGTACGGACAACCGGAAGGACAGACATAAGACAACGTACAACGACAAAAGCTCACATCAGACAAATACGTACGAACGCTGCACAAAGGAAGTATCACATACAGGCATACGCACACAAATAAACGGTCACCTTGCATGTTGCACAGGTATAACCCTTATTAAACCTGTCGAGGTATTACCTTGATAGTAGACACAGAGTCGTAATGGTCAGTTGTCTGGATGATATGGTTACAACAGGCAAATATGCATGAACGCGCACTCTATCTAGCCCACAACAAATTCTCACACTCACAAACACACAAGCACATGCACAATTGTTTCATTTGCAAGATACACATAAATAACCTTCACTATGCCGTTGACCAGTATGTATGTTATACAATGGCGTGGGAGGAAAGTTGGAAATGGTACGGTTCTTAGACATAACCACTTTGGCGAAACCAGCGGGCGGTTCTGTCAAACCTAGAAAAATATTCTGTTGAATCCGGAAATTTGAATCCAGGAGAATGTCTTTCTGGCACACCTAAGGGAGGCAACTCTGCACAATGAAGTGTGGCGCCTCAGACGATTGGGACATCATACCCTAGATTTTTGCCGCTGGGGAAAAGATAGTGTCTGACGTTTAACACGTTTCACATAAATGGCCCTCACTAAAGCTCTTCCGTTATTACCTTGTCAGGAGACACAGCGTCGTAATGGTCAGTTGCCCGGATGATATCCTCCCAATTAATGACGTCACATTGGCTTGTGCTATCTTTCACGCAGTAGTAGTTGTTCACATCATAGCGCCGGGCGATCCTTCCTGTAAAGGTAGAATAGGTCTTCAGCAACCCATGCTTGACAGAAAAGGCCACTATGCTTGTCATAAGAGGTGACTGACTGGATCGGGTGGTCAGACTCGCTGACTTGTTTGATGCATGTCATCGTATCCCAATTGCATGGATCGATGCTTATGATGTCAATCACTGGATTGTCTGGTCCAGACTCGATAATATACAGACCGCCATCATATAGCTGGAATATTGCTGAGTGCGGCGTAAAACAACAAACCAACCAACCTTCCTTTAAAGACGAAGAATGAGGGTGTGAGTTAGGTAACGTGCCACTTTGAAGAGTATTCCTGATATATTACGGTGTGTCAGCTTAACGTGGGAGGAAATCCCTAATCAATGCAGATCCTATACGTTAACTGCTCAGGTAAAACCCACGATGGATGTAATCAGTGCGAATCAGGGATTCGAACGTACGATCCTAGGATTCTGTCATACCTAAGGGACGTAACTCTGCAATGCGACGTGTCGGTACAGATAATAGTTAATAGTTAATTAGCAAAGATGTTTATTCTCAGAGATTGACAAAAAGCAACATAGCAGGTGAGTGAGTGAGTGAGTGAGTAAGCCAAGTTTATTTATTTTTCAGCATTATCACAACAGGGAACATCAGAAACGTGTCAGTGTGGGGAATCAAACCCCTGACTTCTATGTGATGAGCGATCGCTTCAACTACTAGGATACCCTATCACCCCTCAGCAGCTTATGCCACGTGACTATATTTCTCAAAGAAAATCCAACTTCGAGTCGTCTTTCAATGTTAATACGTTATCAGATAATTAATAATTGCAATGAAAACAATATCAGTCCTGAGCAAAAATATGGAAGAGAATTGTAAACAGTATTTTGCCATATCGCGGCACCATCTTCACAAATAAATAATAACTGTGGCTTCTCTCACATTTATAATGACGCAGTGAGGCTAACTGTGTGCTGAAACCAATCCTAACAGCCATGCTTCTTACCTTTGTAGTACCATTTGTCATCCTCCCATCGGGCCAGAACTTGCTCACCATCATAAAAGGTCGGACCAGGATCAATGAATGGTTCATGGTCTTGGGTTCTTGAACAAATGATATATATTATTACAGACACCATTGATTCACGTATCACTGCAAATTATCGACGTGTCATGAGGAAAATTGTCGAAATAATTATGTTAATGGCCCTGCTGCTTTCCTCTACTGTCTGTCTGTTTTGGGGACTTACCCTGCAACCTAAATAACGAACGTAAATTAATTTTATGCGAAACATAGGTATTGTACATCACTACATAACTGCTTCAGACATGTCGGTCGGTGATGAAGGATGGAAGAGAGATACACTATGCCCTTTAATACATCCTTTACCAGGGTCTTCAATGACATATGGGGGCACGGGTGGCCCAGTCGTCTAAGGCGCCGCGACTCGCTGTGCAGAGATGTGTCCCTTAGACACGCCAGAAACCTATGATTGTGGGTTTGAATCCCGGTTCGCCCCGATTATGTTTCTAGGTTTGTCAGCACCATACCCGTGATTGTGGGTTTCACCGAAGTGGTAAACGTCTGAGACCTGCATCACTTCAGGCTTTCCTCCCACATTAAGCTGACACGCCGTTTTATGACTGGAATAATGTTAAAAGCGGCGTTAAACCCAACTCACTCACTCACTTGTACTAGTCCGGACTGATGCCGATTTATAGTGCTAGCCCACTGAGATACCATGCCGCAGTTTAACAGGAATACCCCACTCAGACACAGTATATTGACTCCGGGCCGACAAGTCCTTGTTTTAGCCCCTTAGTGACGAGCGCAAGACAGGGTAACAACAAGTACCATCTTTTAACGTCTTTTGGTATGACGCGGCCGGGGATCGAATCCCGGACCTTCCGCTCTCCGGGCGCACGCTCTACCACTAGACCACGGAGACGGTTCACGAAGTATGAATATCCTTACAAGACAAAGATACTTTCAGTTTCTCTCGATCTTTTGCAACGATGGGTATCTGTCAAAATGATTGAACTGTTATTAAACAGTGTCATACACAATCAGTTCCTTTGCTACATTGACTAGTATAGTCGCATACCACGTTAGACTATAACTGGAGTGTGGTGCAACGGCTTACAACAGAAATATTTTCTTTGGTATTTCAGTTATACAATAGCGTAGGAGGAAAGTTGGAAATGAAACGGTTCTTAAACTACCACTTTGGCGAAACCCACGAGCTCGCGGGCGGTACTGTCAAATTAAGAAAAATATTCTGGTGAATCTAGGATTTGAGTCCACGAGCATGTCTTTCTGGCACACCCAAGGGACGCAACTCTGCACAAAGAAGTGTGGTGCTTCAGACAACTGGGCCACTATACTCCTTATTAACTGCACGTGTTCTAGATTTTTGCAGCTGGTGAAGGGTAGTGTCTGACGTTATCAGTGCTAATGTTCATCTTCCAATATTTTCAGCCCAACTGAGTTTCGCCCCATGAACATTGCCCGGGTATTGATAAAGACAAGATAATGATTACCTTGGAGGAGGAGGAGGATAAGGAGGGCGTGGAGGATCCCTTCTGCCAATGCTGTGAACAAGTATTAAAGTAGGAAAGATTAGATAGAAATCTTAATAGATAAAATCATAACAAAACCTTATGCGACCACAAACTTTATAAAGTATACATTCAGACACAAGGGTATTCTGTTGTTCACGCTGTACTAATTGCAACATTAACATTTTAAGGTTAATAAAGGGTAAACAGGAATATCAGAATGTTGTAACAACAGGCTTAAACATTAACAACAAAACATAATGAAACGTCGCGCTCAAGATCATTACGCTTACATAGCGACGTGTGTGTGCGTGTATGGCTTCTTGTTCTAGTCAAGACCTATGCCCATTTAATAGTGCTAGCTCACTGAGATACCATGCCGCAGTTTAACATCAATACCCCACTCAGACACAGTATGCTGACTCCGAGCCGACAAGTCCTTGCTTAGCCCCTTAAATCCGAGTGCCAGGCAGAGTAACAACAAGTACCATCCGGGCGCACGCTCTACCACTAGACCACGGAGACGGTTCACGAAGTATGAATATCCTTACAAGACAAAGATACTTTCAGTTTCTCTCGATCTTTTGCAACGATGGGTATCTGTCAAAATGATTGAACTGTTATTAAACAGTGTCATACACAATCAGTTCCTTTGCTACATTGACTAGTATAGTCGCATACCACGTTAGACTATAACTGGAGTGTGGTGCAACGGCTTACAACAGAAATATTTTCTTTGGTATTTCAGTTATACAATAGCGTGGGAGGAAAGTTGGAAATGAAACGGTTCTTAAACTACCACTTTGGCGAAACCCACGAGCTCGCGGGCGGTACTGTCAAATTTAGACAAATATTCTGGTGAATCTAGGATTTGAGTCCACGAGCATGTCTTTCTGGCACACCCAAGGGACGCAACTCTGCACAAAGAAGTGTGGTGCTTCAGACAACTGGGCCACTATACTCCTTATTAACTGTAACGTGTTCTAGATTTTTGCAGCTGGTGAAGGGCAGTGTCTGACGTTATCAGTGCTAATGTTCATCTTCCAATATTTTCAGCCCAACTGAGTTTCGCCCCATGAACTTTGCCCGGGTATTGATAAAGACAAGATAATGATTACCATGGAGAAGGAGGAGGAGGATGTGGAGGATAAGGAGGGCGTGGAGGATCCCTTCTGCCAATGCTGTGAACAAGTATTAAAGTAGGAAATTGTTATTAAACAGTGTCATACACAATCAGTTCCTTTGCTACATTGACTAGTATAGTCGCATACCACGTTAGACTATAACTGGAGTGTGGTGCAACGGCTTACAACAGAAATATTTTCTTTGGTATTTCAGTTATACAATAGCGTGGGAGGAAAGTTGGAAATGAAACGGTTCTTAAACTACCACTTTGGCGAAACCCACGAGCTCGCGGGCGTACTGTCAAATTTAGACAAATATTCTGGTGAATCTAGGATTTGAGTCCACGAGCATGTCTTTCTGGCACACCCAAGGGACGCAACTCTGCACAAAGAAGTGTGGTGCTTCAGACAACTGGGCCACTATACTCCTTATTAACTGCACGTGTTCTAGATTTTTGCAGCTGGTGAAGGGTAGTGTCTGACGTTATCAGTGCTAATGTTCATCTTCCAATATTTTCAGCCCAACTGAGTTTCGCCCCATGAACTTTGCCCGGGTATTGATAAAGACAAGATAATGATTACCATGGAGAAGGAGGAGGAGGATGTGGAGAATAAGGAGGGCGTGGAGGATCCCTTCTGCCAATGCTGTGAACAAGTATTAAAGTAGGAAAGATTAGATAGAAATCTTAATAGATAAAATCATAACAAAACCTTATGCGACCACAAACTTTATAAAGTATACATTCAGACACAAGGGTATTCTGTTGTTCACGCTGTACTAATTGCAACATTAACATTTTAAGGTTAATAAAGGGTAAACAGGAATATCAGAATGTTGTAACAACAGGCTTAAACATTAACAACAAAACATAATGAAACGTCGCGCTCAAGATCATTACGCTTACATAGCGACGTGTGTGTGCGTGTATGGCTTCTTGTTCTAGTCAAGACCTATGCCGATTTATAGTGCTAGCCCACTGAGATACCATGCCGCAGTTTAACAGGAATACCCCACTCAGACACAGTATATTGACTCCGGGCCGACAAGTCCTTGTTTTAGCCCCTTAGTGACGAGCGCAAGACAGGGTAACAACAAGTACCATCTTTTAACGTCTTTTGGTATGACGCGGCCGGGGATCGAATCCCGGACCTTCCGCTCTCCGGGCGCACGCTCTACCACTAGACCACGGAGACGGTTCACGAAGTATGAATATCCTTACAAGACAAAGATACTTTCAGTTTCTCTCGATCTTTTGCAACGATGGGTATCTGTCAAAATGATTGAACTGTTATTAAACAGTGTCATACACAATCAGTTCCTTTGCTACATTGACTAGTATAGTCGCATACCACGTTAGACTATAACTGGAGTGTGGTGCAACGGCTTACAACAGAAATATTTTCTTTGGTATTTCAGTTATACAATAGCGTGGGAGGAAAGTTGGAAATGAAACGGTTCTTAAACTACCACTTTGGCGAAACCCACGAGCTCGCGGGCGTACTGTCAAATTTAGACAAATATTCTGGTGAATCTAGGATTTGAGTCCACGAGCATGTCTTTCTGGCACACCCAAGGGACGCAACTCTGCACAAAGAAGTGTGGTGCTTCAGACAACTGGGCCACTATACTCCTTATTAACTGCAACGTGTTCTAGATTTTTGCAGCTGGTGAAGGGTAGTGTCTGACGTTATCAGTGCTAATGTTCATCTTCCAATATTTTCAGCCCAACTGAGTTTCGCCCCATGAACTTTGCCCGGGTATTGATAAAGACAAGATAATGATTACCATGGAGAAGGAGGAGGAGGATGTGGAGGATAAGGAGGGCGTGGAGGATCCCTCCTGCCAATGCTGTGAACAAGTATTAAAGTAGGAAAGATTAGATAGAAATCTTAATAGATAAAATCATAACAAAACCTTATGCGACCACAAACTTTATAAAGTATACATTCAGACACAAGGGTATTCTGTTGTTCATGCTGTACTAATTGCAACATTAACATTTTAAGGTTAATAAAGGGTAAACAGGAATATCAGAATGTTGTAACAACAGGCTTAAACATTAACAACAAAACATAATGAAACGTCGCGCTCAAGATCATTACGCTTACATAGCGACGTGTGTGTGCGTGTATGGCTTCTTGTTCTAGTCAAGACCTATGCCCATTTAATAGTGCTAGCTCACTGAGATACCATGCCGCAGTTTAACATCAATACCCCACTCAGACACAGTATGCTGACTCCGAGCCGACAAGTCCTTGCTTAGCCCCTTAAATCCGAGTGCCAGGCAGTGTAACAACAAGTACCATCCGGGCGCACGCTCTAACACTAGACCACGGAGACGGTTCACGAAGTATGAATATCCTTACAAGACAAAGATACTTTCAGTTTCTCTCGATCTTTTGCAACGATGGGTATCTGTCAAAATGATTGAACTGTTATTAAACAGTGTCATACACAATCAGTTCCTTTGCTACATTGACTAGTATAGTCGCATACCACGTTAGACTATAACTGGAGTGTGGTGCAACGGCTTACAACAGAAATATTTTCTTTGGTATTTCAGTTATACAATAGCGTGGGAGGAAAGTTGGAAATGAAACGGTTCTTAAACTACCACTTTGGCGAAACCCACGAGCTCGCGGGCGTACTGTCAAATTTAGACAAATATTCTGGTGAATCTAGGATTTGAGTCCACGAGCATGTCTTTCTGGCACACCCAAGGGACGCAACTCTGCACAAAGAAGTGTGGTGCTTCAGACAACTGGGCCACTATACTCCTTATTAACTGCACGTGTTTAGATTTTGCAGCTGGTGAAGGGTAGTGTCTGACGTTATCAGTGCTAATGTTCATCTTCCAATATTTTCAGCCCAACTGAGTTTAGCCCCATGAACTTTGCCCGGGTATTGATAAAGACAAGATAATGATTACCATGGAGAAGGAGGAGGAGGATGTGGAGGATAAGGAGGGCGTGGAGGATCCCTTCTGCCAATGCTGTGAACAAGTATTAAAGTAGGAAAGATTAGATAGAAATCTTAATAGATAAAATCATAACAAAACCTTATGCGACCACAAACTTTATAAAGTATACATTCAGACACAAGGGTATTCTGTTGTTCATGCTGTACTAATTGCAACATTAACATTTTAAGGTTAATAAAGGGTAAACAGGAATATCAGAATGTTGTAACAACAGGCTTAAACATTAACAACAAAACATAATGAAACGTCGCGCTCAAGATCATTACGCTTACATAGCGACGTGTGTGTGCGTGTATGGCTTCTTGTTCTAGTCAAGACCTATGCCCATTTAATAGTGCTAGCTCACTGAGATACCATGCCGCAGTTTAACATCAATACCCCACTCAGACACAGTATGCTGACTCCGAGCCGACAAGTCCTTGCTTAGCCCCTTAAATCCGAGTGCCAGGCAGAGTAACAACAAGTACCATCCGGGCGCACGCTCTACCACTAGACCACGGAGACGGTTCACGAAGTATGAATATCCTTACAAGACAAAGATACTTTCAGTTTCTCTCGATTTTTTGCAACGATGGGTATCTGTCAAAATGATTGAACTGTTATTAAACAGTGTCATACACAATCAGTTCCTTTGCTACATTGACTAGTATAGTCGCATACCACGTTAGACTATAACTGGAGTGTGGTGCAACGGCTTACAACAGAAATATTTTCTTTGGTATTTCAGTTATACAATAGCGTGGGAGGAAAGTTAGAAATGAAACGGTTCTTAAACTACCACTTTGGCGAAACCCACGAGCTCGCGGGCGGTACTGTCAAATTTAGACAAATATTCTGGTGAATCTAGGATTTGAGTCCACGAGCATGTCTTTCTGGCACACCCAAGGGACGCAACTCTGCACAAAGAAGTGTGGTGCTTCAGACAACTGGGCCACTATACTCCTTATTAACTGCACGTGTTCTAGATTTTTGCAGCTGGTGAAGGGTAGTGTCTGACGTTATCAGTGCTAATGTTCATCTTCCAATATTTTCAGCCCAACTGAGTTTCGCCCCATGAACTTTGCCCGGGTATTGATAAAGACAAGATAATGATTACCATGGAGAAGGAGGAGGAGGATGTGGAGGATAAGGAGGGCGTGGAGGATCCCTTCTGCCAATGCTGTGAACAAGTATTAAAGTAGGAAAGATTAGATAGAAATCTTAATAGATATAATCATAACAAAACCTTATGCGACCACAAACTTTATAAAGTATACATTCAGACACAAGGGTATTCTGTTGTTCATGCTGTACTAATTGCAACATTAACATTTTAAGGTTAATAAAGGGTAAACAGGAATATCAGAATGTTGTAACAACAGGCTTAAACATTAACAACAAAACATAATGAAACGTCGCGCTCAAGATCATTACGCTTACATAGCGACGTGTGTGTGCGTGTATGGCTTCTTGTTCTAGTCAAGACCTATGCCCATTTAATAGTGCTAGCTCACTGAGATACCATGCCGCAGTTTAACATCAATACCCCACTCAGACACAGTATGCTGACTCCGAGCCGACAAGTCCTTGCTTAGCCCCTTAAATCCGAGTGCCAGGCAGAGTAACAACAAGTACCATCTTTTAACGTCTTTTGGGATCGATCCCCCGACCTTCCGCTCTCTTGGCGGACGCTCTACCAGTAGACCACGGAGGCGGTGGCAAATCTCAAAGATCTTTAGGGTGTGTTTCTCGTTTGACGCCACACTCAGCAATGGTCCAGCTGTATGATGGCAACCAAGTAACCGAATTTGAATACCCGATCCATTTAGTATTAGATCTCTTATGGCCAGCGTATTGTAACCTGGAATCCCCGCGGGGTTCGCCTTTATTGTATTGTTTCAAGATGATGTTGCAGATACTGTATCAGCATACCGGGATGAAGGAAAGGTCAGATGAAGTAAAACCAGCCCTGATTTACGCTCACTTAAACCTTCAGTTGAGGTGAGGTAAAATACGGTTTGATTTATCATACACATCGTCAGATTTAGGATGAAGACAAGATGAAGATACATGGAAGGAGGTTGAGAAGGAGTTGGAGAAGGCGTCGATGAAGAGCTTTGAGAAGACAAAAGATTCCTCTCACTGATCCTTTAAAGAAACATGAAGCTCATCTATAGTATCGTTTAATGTATTTCAGAAGATTGAAGTGATTGAATGTATGTTATGAGTAGATTCAGCTCACGAGAATGAGACCATGCGTGGCTATAATACCAGGATAGATCAAGTTCATGCATTTAGAGTGTCAGCCCAATTACGTCGAGAGAGATGGTCCACACTACTGCTACTCACACTACTACAAACTTGATACAATCCCTGTCGTGGAACTTGGGCTGTAAACATTAAACAATGTATTTGTCATCAACCAGGGATTCAATATCAATCATGTATCTGCTGTTACTATAAGACAACAGCACACATTACATTTCAAAAATGGCGGTTGATTATTAACTACACGATGTCTTGTCTAACGCTGTATGACAGACATACGTAGATAAGTTGTGGTATGTTCGTGTGTGTGTGTTGTGTTTATCGCCGCTTTTAACAGTATTCCAGTTATATCACGGCGTGTCAGCTTAATGTGGGAGGAAACCCCGAAGTGATGCAGGTCTCAGACGTGTAATATTGTATTTGGGGCAAATAAAAAAATATACTCATCTTCGATAGATCTTAGCTGTACATTTTTTAAATATTTTTTTTTATCCTTTAAGATGATGGCTGATAATATCAATGACTGACTTGCAGGGTCGAACACACGACTATTTACAAACCGCCATCATACAGGTGAAATAGTGTCCAGTGTTAAATATCAACCGCAAGATCCTCACTAAATATAAATACCTTCAAGTGTTTCCCGATGAAATCTATGCAATAAAGAGATGAGTCTTTAACTGGTGTTTTCAATTGTCCTCTCTGATGTTTGATGAACCAGAAGGAGAACCCTCTATCATCCGGTTCTCCCACCACACGGGCAAGATGGTTTGACAAGTCCTTAAACTGGAGGTTAAAGACTTTGCTATTGAAACGTGTATTTTTATAAAGGCTAAAAAAGCGGTTGTATGGTTTGATATTTGTTCAGTGGTGTGTGTACCCTTTAATCCAATCTCTGAGTAATCCAACACACTGGTGACGACTCTCGCTACAGAAACCCCTCAATAAACCACCACTCTTGTTAAAACGCCATCTCTATATTCAAACTCTCTCGCCACATGGACCCCAATGTAACCCAAACGCCTCGCTACATCTTCCTCTACACTTCAGTTAACAAAACATTCCTTCTCAATCCTCAAACTGAACACTCTCCCTACACAAAACACCGCGTCACCCTTAACATCGCTACACATTCCCCTTTGTATCCTAACACCCTCGCTAAACAGGCCCCTCTGGGATCTGAAAACTATTGCTACACAAGAGCCCCTACAAACAACCCTCACTCTACAAAGACCCCTTGTAACTCAACACTCTGGCAACCAACAACAATGTTTACACGAGCACATCTAAACAATCCAATCATTCTCAATACACCAGGCCCTCAATAAGCCAAACTCTTTGCTACACCGACCCTCTCTGCTACCAAACCCATTCGAAGCTATATTCGAGAGGGGTAAGTTTAATTTACAGTCATCAGTAAATAAATGAAAATATCGATCTTGTTGCTGGTAATTCAGTGTAAATAGAAACACCTTTCTGAAAGATTCCTCATCGGAGTGATCCAGGTGTATTGCAATGACAGCAGGAGACAACAGTGACCGCAGTCCAATACTCTCCAACTTGACCCGCCCCTCGTGAAGGAAGACACCGTCTCGGATATTCACGTTAACAAGAGGATACGGAATCTCCTGTAATGAAACGTAAATCGGACATTCAGTCCATCAACACGTGGAATTAGAGTGCATTGACACACTGCAACTAGTATCTCCAACATGTGGTAGTTATTTGGACCCACTGAAGTTTCATGCAACACGACATTCACACGGCGCGGCAAGTTCCAGGTCCACACGATGCCATATATTGAATGCAAAATTTGTATTCAGAAATCACAAATGTTTTGGAGATTAAGTCAGATGCTGACGTTTATTTCCGTTAGGGACCCATCATGTATTATTCTAGGTGTGGTTGCAGGTGGTTTCTGGGAGATGTGTAGAGACGGTCAACTGTTTCATGCAAGGATCTGAACATTTATGTCACAACACATGTTTTCAGGACATGCAGCCTACCACGTGTGTATAACGGAAATATATATATATAGTAAATATTATTACATTTATTACTATATTGTGCCTGAGAGTTAGAACTTAACGCTTTATATAAAGCACAGTAAAGTACATACATATATATATATATATATATATATATATATATATATATATATATATATATATATATTTATATATTTATATATATATATATAGCCTTAGAACAAATTACTTTTTGCCAGTTTCTTTAAAAGATATCCTAAACATTTATTTATTCACCCCAAACCTTCTTCTTAATCAACACCTGTTAAGCAGTATGTACCTACCACTGTGCACGGGCAACTGATCCTGTTTGTAAGGTAGATGCCATGAGAATGTCCGTTCGGGATGTTCCCACTGCTGCGGGTTGTCCCTTCGCTTGTGTTGTCATTTATGTTCAGCAACCAGTTGGGTCCGCTTGCTGAAGTCATAACATTGTTGGGATTATTTACTAACCTGTGTTTGAGACTTTGGTCATTCGTCACCAGACATCTTAACTCAGTCATTTGAGTTATTTACAAACAAGTGTGCCACGCTAGGTCAATCGTCACCAGCATCTCAACTCAGTTATATGAGGTATTTACAAACAAGTGTGTCACGCTAGGTCAATCGTCACCAGCATCTCAACTCAGTTATATGAGGTATTTACAAACAAGTGTGTCACGCTAGGTCAACCGTATGCACATATCTCAACTCAGTCATTTGAGTTATTTACAAACAAGTGTGTCACGCTAGGTCAATCGTCACTAGCATCTCAACTCAGTCATTTGAGTTATTTACAAACAAGTGTGTCACGCTAGGTCAATCGTCACCAGCATCTCAACTCAGTCATTTGAGTTATTTACAAACAAGTGTGTCACGCTAGGTCAATCGTCACTAGCATCTCAACTCAGTCATTTGAGTTGTTTCCCAACAGGTATATCACGCTAATAGTATGTTAATCATCGTCGCACATCTCACATTTACCATTTTGAGTCATTTTCTAAAAATCAGTATCACTCAAGATCAGTCATGTCTATACATTTCTGTGGGTGTACTTACCGATTGTCCACCGTCGTCTCTCCTGGAAATCCCGCAACCCATCTAGACCCCACATCCGATTAGCGCCCCAGGAACGCCCTAGGTGATTGAAGGCACGGATCTCTTTGTCAGTACGATAGTAGTCTGTATAGCTCTGTTCGGTTAAAACATCAAAGCATGACAATAGGGAATTCATTGGCTGGGAGTGAGTGTATGTGTGAGTTTTAAGGTCGCATACACACAAACGAAAACACATTGGAAAATGACCCTGACGCTATGCGTACACCACTGATGTTAATACAAAACGCTGATGATATATCCATTGATTACCCACCAGTTACGTTGATGAAACACAAGTGACGTTGATGATACGTAACTGACGTTGATGATACACAATTAAAATTGATAATACGTAACGGACGTTGATGATACACCATTAAGATTGATGATACGTAACTGACGTTGATGATACACAAGTGACCTTGATACAACACCAAGTTGGTGATGATGCAACACCACAGACGTTGATGATACAACACCACAGACGTTGATGATGCAACACCACAGACGTTGATGATACAACACCACAGACGTTGATGATACAACACCACAGACGTTGATGATGCAACACCACAGACGTTGATGATACAACACCACAGACGTTGATGATACAACACCACAGACGTTGATGATGCAACACCACTGACGTTGATAATGCAACACCACAGGCGTTGATGATACAACACCACAGACGTTGATGATGCAACACCACAGACGTTGATGATACAACACCACAGACGTTGACGATGCAACACCACAGACGTTGATGATACAACACCACAGACGTTGATAATGCAACACCACATACATTGATGATACAACACCACAGACGTTGATGATACACCACTGACTTTGATGACTTAACACCACTTACGTTGATGACTTAACACCACTGACGTTGATGACTTAACACCACTGACGTTGAAGACACAACACCACTGACGTTGACGACACAACACCACTGACGTTGATGATGCAGCACCACTGACGTTGATGATGCAACACCACAGACGTTGATGATACAACACCACAGACGTTGATGATACAACACCACAGACGTTGATGATGCAGCACCACTGACGTTGATGATGCAACACCACTGACGTTGATGATGCAACACCACAGACGTTGATGATACAACACCGCAGACGTTGATGATACACCACTGACGAAGACGACACAACACCACTGACGTTGATGATACACTACTGACGTTGAAGACACAGCATCACGGACGTGCTACTTAAATCAAACTTAACCTACTTTTTCCTTGGTGACATATAGCCTTTCCTCATGGCCACACAGAGCCAGCCAAACAATTTGTGCATCAGATATGGGAATACAGTTTCACACACAAAAAACGCTGTAAAACGTGCAGGTATTATACGTGGTTGGAAAAATGCATCGAAGGAAAAAAATGTTTCTGAAATGACTGCAGAATAACAGATACCCAAAGGATGGCAAAGTATACACAATCCCGTGGCGCGCTATGATAATCAGTGTATCCATATAGCTCCATAGCGACAACTCTCACATCGAAACAAACCTTTCAGCTCAAACAAACTCCAACAGTGCGTGTTCTAGAGAGTGAACATAAACATCCCATAAGAGCAAAGCTGAGCGATTTCATCAATGGGCGTTTGTGATTTGGGTTGCACGCCCACAAATACGTTTAACAAAACAGTTCAGTTCATTGTCGTACATTCCTCGAGATTTTCACGCCTCTGGTTTCGTGGATTCGTAAAGTGGAACAGTACAATGCGAACGCTATTCACTATATACACTGATATGAAATTCGCGGAACTCGAGTATCTGGTATTGCTCTAAGACAGCTACAGGACTCGTGGCAAAACGGTTACGAAACAATCGGACTCGGTTCGCCCCGTCGTTTGTTTTCGCAAATGTACTTTATATACCGTTAGAATCACTCGTCCTCTATCTTCTACATGAATCTTATTTTAACAAGCACATGAATCCGTATTCTACAGCTCCCAAACTCGCTTTGTGGAGTTACGTCCCTTGGGCATGCCAGGATTCACTGACCGTGGTTATTCGCCACAATTATAATTCTTGGTTGGTCCGGACCTTAACGATTGTGCAAATGGGTTTCACAACAGTGGCGAATGTCTCGTTAGGTTTTCCGCCTTGATAAAGATACTTTTCAAAGCGGCTAAAAACTCGACTCACTCACATACTCATCATTGCATTAAATACCATGTAGGATTGTTGATGTTGACCACGGACAACATACTCTCCTCTGGATACAAAACATGGGAACTATTCCAAAAGAATACTCACTGGCGTTCTCGAGTGCGTCCCTATAGCATGGGAATACAGTCTGACATCAATCATGATGTAGTCGTCTGTGAACAGTTAATGTCCCCCTTTTCTTCAACGCATCTCCTTCGTACAATGAAGCAACCATACACCGTTTCTACATGTCTGACATCTGTCAGCACCCACAGTACGTTGTCCTCTACAATGACAGAGGAAGGTGACGCCACCCGAGATCTCCCTTCTGATACGTATGAGCCCCGTTAAGAAGCCTCAATCCACTCTCTGTTGCTGCCAAGTTTAATTAAACATACAGTATTTCCTCTATTACACGCCGAGACTCAAATACACGTCGAATTATTCCGAAACGCCCACCCTGTTCTGATAAGCTTCAGCTCCGTGAAGAAGGCTCATTCGACTGTGTTGCTGCCAGGCTTAATAGAAAATATGGAACCATGCATTCATAATAAGAGGTATTGAGCAAGGTCGCACAACGTAAAATATATTATTGATCAGCTCGTTGCGTTGCATGTGACACTGTTGATTGAGCAAGTACAAGCCGATGCGCGGGAGTTGCTATGACATGTTTTAACACAATCACCCCGAGTAGTATAGGTAATGGGGGTTCTGCCGCAACTCCACTGGAGCCGGATTTATATACCTATACTGCTACTACAGGGGGAATTTTTTATGTGTAAATGATGATGCGATTCAACGATAGTCATAAGTCATATCAAAAGAAACATCAATATTAATTAATAATGGATAAAATTTACTATAGCCCACGAGGATATATGTGAAAGGTATAGGAGCAATAAAAAAATTAGCAACCGCGGCTAAGGTATCTAAAGATGTGGCCAAGGATTGGTTAAAGAAACAAGCGATGTGGAAAATATATTTACCGGCACCGCGTTATATACCGAGGAAGAAGTTTGATATTTTTACAACGAATGAAGTTCATCAGGCTGACCTCTTGTTTCTTCCCCACGATAAAGTAAGACGCAAAACGTATAAATACACTTTAACCATACTAGATGTGGCTAGTCGATACAAAGAGGCTGAGCCATTAACCTCGAAAGATTCAACAGAGGTAGCTAATGCACTGAGTCGCATATATAAACGCGGACCACTAAAATGGCCTAAGCTATTTTAAGTAGATCCCGGTCGCGAGTTTATGGGATCGATAACTAAACTGTTAACAAAGCACGATGTCGAAATCAGGCGTGGTGAAAGAGAGGCCCACCGCAGTCAAGCTATCGTCAAAAGATGTAACAGGACCTTAGCGGAACGTTTGTTTGGCTATCAGTATGGGATCGAAATGAAATCCAAACGATTGAGATCAACCGAATGGGTGACACAATTATCAGCCGTTGTATCAGCGCTGAATAATGAAGTGACGAGATTAATAGGGAAGAAACCATCCAATGCGATTAAAATGAAATCCGTGACATCCGAATCTTCAGCACCGAGGAGAGGCAAAGAACGAAAACTTCCGGATAGAGTAAGGGTAAGATATTTATACCAGCCCGGTGAACTCGAGGGAGGCCTACGTCGCGCAACCGATCCGATTTGGTCCCTTAAGACGTATAACATTAGTCGATTGGTTACGAAAGAAGGAGAGCCTATTCTTTTTTATCTTCAAGATGGACCTGGTAGGGCATTTGTACGAGAAGAGTTGTTCATATCCCAACGGTACGGTATTACCACCATAACCATAAGCATAGGTAGTTACACCATCATTATCAATCCATCTCTTTGTATCTAAGGGGGATAATGATGTCTTGTTCATTCTTAATCCATATATCCTATGATTGTAACTTCTTAAAGAGTTCACCTCGTGTTTGAACGTTCTACCGTTGAATAATGATTCTTTATACTGTTCGTGTTTGATATGCTTTTTTACAACATACTTCTTAACGCCCTTAGCTTTTCTTATCTCCCCATTATCGGACTTCTTTATAGAATACATCTTAGGTCTTAATCCGACATACTCCGCTGTAGGGGTCCTAGCACATTCATCCTTCATCTTACCTAACACCTTTTTATTTACTACGCTGTGCAGTGGATTATCTTTTGGGTAATCGCTCGTGTGAGACATATCTATTTTTTCTGCCATATCTTTATATACATCCTCGGTTTGTATTTCCATCAACAAAGAATCTGTGTCGGTATATAACACCTCGCATCTATTGCGGTATTGCTTCTTAAGTTTGTTGTAATAAAAGTGATACATTAAGTGTTTTGACAAGTCGAGAATACGCATACCGACGTACACCGGTCTGTTGAATTTTATATTACTCTTCTGCATATGCAACGCGGCTAAGTCGTTATCGAATATCTTGCTTCTGTTAAAAGCCGGACTGGCTATAAGTTTCCTGAGTCTTTCTTCTTCATTAGATCTGACTAATTTAACATCAACACGCTCCTTAGATTCTCCATAGTTTTACCAAATACTGAGTTATTCATGAGCTTATATAGATTCTTTTCGAAATCGCTGGTAGCTATCTTTCTTAAATCTGTGTTCAGCCTTATATAGGGCTCTATCCAAGGGCTTTGATCAAACTTTAGAACTCTGTGTATTTTCTTAAGTTTCATACCTAACGATAGATATAACTGGAGATTTCTGTAGTGAACTATATATTTTGTCTTATCCATCAAATTTGGTACGAGTTTTTCTACGTTTGCTAACCTACTATTACCCATTAAGGAGTGTTGATATTCCGACATCCAATCCTTATTAACCATTAATCTTTTGGGAGCTAGCGGATAATTGTTATGGTCTTTATGTAACGAACTTGGATATTCCAAGTCAACTTCTAGTATGTACCCTTTATTCACATCATTCACATTGATATTATGGATATCATTCTCATCGACCCACTCAAAACCACCCGTGGGTAATTAAAGGTTGACTCATAGCCCATCCGTACAAATTGTTAGCATTGAGATATAATATATGCGTGTCGGGTTTACTCGGATCATATCCTTCCACTAATTTATTATTAGCCTTAGAATGCCTTTTCGCTGCCATCGATATACCACCTCTTAATCCTTTCTCAATAAACAAGTGCATATCGTAATCTGTGAGTAGTTTTAGTTCTACGCCGGTCTTCTTCAACAATGCATCCCACGATAGTCCAGGACTGGAATAGTACCATGCCAGGTCCAAGCCGTATTGTTTTAAACATGTCTTTCTAAATATCTCAAATATATCGGCGAGTAACAGTACATCGGTTTTTAAGTACAGATCATGATAATCGCCTAAATTCTTACAACCTAATTTATCCCACACTGTCAGAGCGTGTTCATAATCGGCATCTGTTATTTTAGATTCTGTTAAGTTACTATAGAATGATTCAAGGGGTGGTAATTTAGTTTCATCGAATCTAGACCAATCATCCATATATTCGTAAGGATATACACCTTTTCTCAGCAACAAATGACGAGTTATTTTATCGGTATATTGATTTGTTATCGCAAAGTCATCGGGATTGTTCGCATTAGCTAAATTGTCCAGGGAAGATAACAGAAACTGTACGGAGTCTATGAATCTAAGCCCATTACTTTGCTTTATTCTAGATTTCCCATCCTTGTCCCTATAATGTATAGGTTTAGTCAACGAGAACGATATGTATTTTTCCATATTATTAGGAATGCACGTTAAACCGCCGTCGTATCCCCTAAGGTTGTGAAACACAACGGGGATGGGTATTGTTTGAGAATTCATTTTTAGTTTCAAGTTACACTCGTTATGCGTGGATCCCCGATAATTACCCGTGTCGTGACAATGATCTCTTACTGAATCCCCATCCAGGGGTTTATTACAAACATGACAACTTGTTTACTTCTTATGGGCCCTCCAATCATCCCTCGTCATACACATGGATTTCTCTCTTCATTTTGTAGATATTCTAGGAACTTTCCCGCTGCATCGGGACCTCTGTAAATCATGGGCTGGTTTGTTTTCCCATCATACCTTACAACTATATATCCAAACCCACAAGGAGTATGTTCTTGAGTTTTGTACGTAAAACTATCTTTATTATCAGTATTGCGTTCGGTATTTTCTATGGGTTTGATAAGCGCTACGAAGTCGGCGTAAATTACGTACGGTACTGGCATTTGATTACAATAATGTTCAAATTTTAATATATTTTTTCCCTCTGTAGGCATATCGATCCTGATAGCGGTCTGTCCAACACCTCTACAGTCTTCTTTATGCGCTTCTAAATGATCTTGTCTGCTGTACCCATGTAGGCATCTTTCAAAGAAATATTTCTTTTCTTTATGTTTTGTTTGATCATATAATAGTCTGTTTAAACTCTTTATCCATGTATAATGATATTTTCCATCTTTTTCGATCAGAAATGAATTGATTCTGGGGATATGTTCCGGAGCGGAGCTTATCCTGTGTACAACAATTCCTTTAGAATGTGCGAAAACATTTAGCTAAATTATTTTGCTTTTCCACCTTATCAATTTGTGATATTGGTGTAGGTTCGTCTATACCATTGAAGTTGAGTCCATCGTTTTGGGGATAGCTAGAAGGTCTATTTGCAATTTTAGAATCTACGTGGAACAATGCAGATCTTATCATCATTCTTAAACAATCATCGGATTTATTTTTTACGTTAATTATGGCTTTTTTCTTCTCATAATATGGGGGTAAATCTATATAAGAACCACCTTTTAAGGGCATATAATTTGCTATATCTAAATATAAACTATCGATTTAATCCACACCCCAACCCGAACCTCTATTACGCCAGCGTTCTAAAGTTTCCTGTATCCTCTGAATTGATGTATCTAATGATGCGTTTATAGTATCGGATTCGGTTATAACTTCTTGATTGCTACGGAAATATGGTTCGGTATATTCGGTGCTATCATCTGTGTTACTGTTACTCAATAACATTTTAATCGTCAGCTGGTATTTTATACGATGTAAATCATCTAACTCCTCGTTAATTTTACTCGATATGATGGGCTTAATATCGTTAACATCCATGTTGGAATTAATATCCATCTTCAAACCTCTTAGATATTTACCAACGCCGGCGGATGTGGGTACAAATATTAATTCTTGTTGTTTATTCTCAACATCAACATTATTATCATTATGTTCAACATCATTATTATCTAGTAAAGCGATCAATTCAGCTCTTCTCATTCAAGAATAATCTCTCAGCCCACTGTTTCTCGCTTGAGCTTTGAGTTCTCTAACAGTCCTGGGTTTGTTGTATTCCAAACCGAGTAAGGTAATCAATTCAGCTTTTCTCATTCGAGAATATCCACGTAGACCACTTTGCTTTGCCATAGCCTTCAACTCTCTGACAAAAACCATTGTGACCATGGTATATGCAAAATGAGACAAATGTCTAATTTGTTGTTTTTCATAGATCTAAATAC